ACACACACACACACACACACACAGCTTGGCCCGTCTTGTCCAATGAGCTCTCAAATTCTCTGTCCTCCTACAACCTACAACGAGGGAACCCGGATCTAGATTATGCAGCTCCAGGCGGAAGGAGCGAAGTACTGATGTAATGGCTGCAGCGCTGTGGACTCATCGTGGACAGAGATCTGTGGCTGTTGCAGGGACAGTGACCCGGTCGACATGCAGGTCCAGGTCCACTGGCACCGCGTTAAAGTCCCAGTATGACGCGCTGGTCATTGGAGGAGGTGAGCACTGCAGAGACTGTGTTTAAAAGTCATGTGGCTGCTGCTACCTGAAGAGTTTTGTGCAAAGGTTTTGGCAACGTTTGCAAAAGTACGAGTAAGCATTTGTGGTAACGCTTTAGACCACTGATCGCAATTTAAAGCGTAATTGCTTCAGAAATACTGCGTAAAAAGTACCAGCAAAAGTACGTAACAAAAAACAATCTATAGTGCCTGAAGAACAAAGGATGAATTTATGGAATAAGGGATTTTACAAAGAACTTTAAATTTTGAACCATCTATTATTACAGGGTGAGTATGACCCACTGAGATGCAATCTGGATTTCTGAAGGAATTTTCTGGCAACTCTTTCCTGCATACTTTATCCTGGGATTATTGTAACAAAGTTGAAACTAACCGTGCTTTAAATTACAGCCTGCAAAGAGGGGTATGTTCAGCTTACTGTGTAACCACAGAGAACAACAGCTGTTTTACTTTTATTTGCCTTAAATTATATAAAAACAAACTGAAGAAGTTTGTAAAGCAATCACACAAATATACCTCACAGTTAGTAGCCCACCCCACAGTTTGTTGGTGGCTTTTTGAAATAAAATTACTGCAGATTTAAAGGTGATGCAGAATTCCTCCCGACATCTGACACGTCCAGATTATTGTTCATGAGGTCATACCCTGTAATGATGGAATAGGGACTTTTTGTGAGATCCCAAATCAATTCCATCAATCACCACGGTAACAGGGTGATGGTCAGTATTTTACTGGTACAGACTTAAAGCAAAATATGCCACCGTAATTATGCATAACTTTCTCGCTCAAGCAAAACTTTAGAAATAGAAATGTCATTTTTGAAAAACATTGTGTGACATTTTTTTGTATTTTCTTGCAGGACACAATGGACTGGTGGCAGTGAGTTCAAATGATTGTTTCCAAATTCTTGGAAATATTCTCCATTACATAATACAGTTTAGCAACAGGGCAAAGGTGACGTGTGTGTGTGTGTGTGTGTGTGTGTGTGTGTGTGTGTGTAGGCTGCCTATCTTCAGAAGGGAGGAGTGAAGACAGCTGTGTTGGAGCGCAGATATGTGCTGGGAGGAGCAGCTGTGTCAGAGGAGATCATCCCTGGTAGGATGTTCCTCTGACTGGTGAATATGTGACTGTCATATGGGGTCTGTTCACCCAAATTTAACAGTAAACAAACAAAAAACAACATTTTGTTGCTTGTGCTATACACCGGACCTACTTATAATTAACAAATAGGGTGTTAGTTGGATTATCCAGTCTAACAGACACAAACAACCCAAAACAGTTTGAAGGCTCCATACCTATAGAAGTAATCAAATAAATATTCTGTAATTTGGGTTAACTGACCCTTTAATTGTGATACATGTATAAACACAGCTAATTAATGGTGTGGGTAATACACTGTTCTGTAATTCTAAAATGTTCATGTGTTTGTAGCTTCATAGACTGTTCGTACAATTCATTTCAGCTTTATTTTCATAACACCCTTGTGTGCAGGTTTCCGCTTCTCCAGATGTTCCTATTTGCTCAGTTTGTTACGACCACACATATACAGAGACCTGGAGCTCAAGGTAAACACAGCTAATAATCATAATAATAATAACAAAATGTAAAAATAATCAAAATATTAACCATGAGATAAAGAAACATCACACACCATCGTTGATGAAAGTTATAATTGTACCTGGTTCTGGTTTTAGGGCTGATTAAAGTCAAAGGCCTCATTTTCATTGTTTTTTTAAAAATATTTATGTATTTCTATTCAGAAACATGGGCTGAAGGTCTATATGAGAGACCCACATGCCTTCACCCCCATGTTGGAGGAGGGGGTGAAAGGTGCTCCACCCAGGTCTCTCACCCTGGGCTCAGACCTGGCCATGAACCAGACGGAGATAGGCAAGTTCTCGCAGAAGGATGCAAAGGTGATATAAGCGTTATGACAGCCTCAGCAAATGGTTGACAGTATTAACAACCCTACAGCTGTATGATGTGAAAAAGTTCTGCAATGACCTTTATTTACATACTCGCCATACTCAACACTAACAATCCATGTTACTCATTCTTTGACATGTACCAGGCTTTTCCAGATTTTGTTGCACACCTTGAAAAGCTAGCAGGAGCCATTCAGCCTCTCTTGGATGCTCCTCCTGTCGACATTCGAGACCTCACCACTGGATCCCCGATGAAGAGGCTGGCTGCAGCTAAAACACTGATACCTGTTGCCAAATGTGGTGTGTTGGTGGATGCATGCTTGTGCAATTCACTGTTATATTCTTAATGCTAGAATAAAAAGAAAATCTACCATATACCAATTGTGTTTGTTGTAGCTGAGTCATGTTATGTTGTTGGATTTATAGGTTTGAAACTGGGCAGAAATATTCCAGACTTTTATGAGATAATAACAGCACCAATAATGAAGGTTTGTTACAAGTTAATGAAGAATTTGCATCTATTTCCATTTTGTATTCGGTGTATTGTGAACAACTCCTTTTTTGTTTCATAGGTTCTCAATCGGTGGTTTGACTCAGAGCCACTGAGAGCGACGCTGGCTACTGATGCTGTGATCGGAGCCATGACCAGTCCAAGTAATCCTGGTAGTGGGTGAGACACATATGAAGGCACCCTGTGGCACACACACACACACACACACACACACACTCACACTCACACACAATTAACTGCAAAGGATTCACAATGGCCTCCAAAAAGGTGAATTGTATGTTCTTGTCTTGAAGGTATGTGCTTTTACACCATGTGATGGGAGAACTGGAGAAGGAGAAAGGAGCATGGGGTTATGTGGAGGGCGGAATGGGAGGCGTGTCTCAGGCTATTGCCAGCGCTGCTCAATCCTACGGGGTTGACATTTTCACTGAGAAGGTAGAAATAAATATTGTTGAATTGTTGCAGTTAATTTTGTGCGTTGATACAAATCAAATTCTAACAAGTGTATTTTTTACATTTATGCATACACATCTAAATTTTGCAGGATGTAGCGCAGGTCCTTGTTGGTTCGAATGGTGCTGCCAGTGGGGTGGTGCTAAAAGATGGCACAGAGATCTCCAGTAAAGTAGTTTTATCAAATGCTACACCATATCTCACTTTCAAAAACCTCACGCCACAGGTAACAGAGAAATATAAACACACCTAACCATGCCAAGAGATAATATTCTTAACTTTATTCTGATTTCCTGTTTTTCATTGTAGGCTGCACTTTCTCCAGAGTTTATCAAAGCCATTGACCAGATAGACTACACATCGCCTGTCACCAAGATCAATGGTAAATCTATAATTCTACTCCACAAATACTAAAGAGAAAAAAGTTCAAGTGGCTTGTAACTGAATTTTTTGTAAGTATTTTGTGGATGTGAAAATGTGTTTTTTATATTTCCAGTGGTACATGGTAGTTTCAGATTTCCACGTAAAAGATCAGATTTTAAAATAAAGGTTTGGAAAGTAAAAAGTAAGAATGGCAGAGTATATACTGAACATCAAAACTAAAATGAAATGATAAGAAACAAGAAGTTCGTATTCAAATGTCAATCCCCTGAACATTGTTTGGGTAAAGTTTGGAGGGGGAGTGGAAGATGGGTTTTGGAGGAGTAACCGGACATGCAAACAAACAAACACACACACACACACACACACACACAAACCACTCTCTAATTAAGATGTAGGATTTTTGCAGCATAAGATCAGGTCACTGCCTCGTTCCTGAAGTTTGAAAGTTTATAAAACTGTAAAGCACAAATATCTGTTAAACATAATCATAGTCTTCTCTGTTTTAAGGAAATGATCTTAGCTTTAGGGTGAAGGAATGGAGCAGTTTGAAGCACAACATGCTGCATGAGTTACCCCAATCTTAATTCAAGGTGGAGATACATTATCTTAGAACGAACACTGATTCCATGTCATTTTGCTTGTCGTCTTTACAGTGGCCGTGGACAAACTACCAAACTTCTTAGCATCTCCTACACCGGATGATAAACCTGGACCCCACCATCAGTGCTCCATTCATCTCAACTGTGAAAGTGTAGAGGTGCTGGAGACGGCATACAAAGAGGCCATGAATGGACGTCCCTCAGTGAGGTACATGCAGTATATCTCCACCATGGACCAGCACAGTATAGGGGTAAAGATGCCTGGGCTTCAAGCTTAAGCAGTACTTCCAAAGAAAAAGCTAAAGTAGATTCAAAACCTTCAATCAAGTTGTATTTGTTTATCAACTATCAACTAAATAACAATATTTACAACACTCATGAGAAGAGACAGTGTCTAGTTTAAATGGAGAGGTGTATCAAAGTTTAAAATGTTTTAAATATATTATATATGTATAATGTAGAGATATAGAGATCTGTCTCAACACCTCACCCCCCCTCCACTCTCCACCACCTCCGCCCATCATGCTCCCCTCCTCTTACAGACCCATGCTGGAGATGACCATCCCCTCAGTGCTGGATCCTACTCTGGCTCCCCCTGGCTGCCACGTTGTGTCGCTGTTCACCCAATTCACCCCCTACCACATAGAAGGCAGAGAGTGGACTGACCAGGACAGAGAGGCCTTTGCAGACACCGGTTAGACATAAAAAAAAATCCTCCAGGATTTCTTATAGCTCCGTGGGCTGAAATTGTGATTTATTGCTACATTAATAATTACTGAGTGCACAAGTTCTAGCATGTTTTGCTTGAAGCTGAACCTAAACATGTGTTTTGAATTTATTAATGGAAACTTTTACATAAACTTTTGTTTAAATGATAACATTTCTTTTCCAATAACAAACAAATGATACTAAAAGGGTAGACTTACAATGTATTATGACTGATCTGATGAAGTATGTGTTTGTGTGTCCTTTCAGCATTTGACTGGGTGGAGCAGTATGCCCCAGGGTTTAAAAAGTCTGTTGTGGGAAGAGACATCTTGGCTCCGCCCGACCTGGAGAGGATCTTTGGGCTCACTGGAGGGGTAAAGTAATTTTGCATATTGTAGAACTAAGCAGCAGGTTTTAAATATTGATACTCATCTTATTTGTTTAATACAACCAACGGATAAGTGGATGGGGAAGTATTCAAATCTTCTGCAGCGATCTGTCTGTCACTCTCCACTCAGGCACATACGTGTTGTATACACTGTTAATGGTTACAGATGGTTTTACTGCAACACAGAATCAGTCAGAATCAAAGTTCACATCATCTGCGTAAAGTGATACTAACTCGCCCAGTGGTGTTTGCTTCTATATCTGAGGACAGAGGAAGTGGCAGGGTCTCTTTCTCATAATGATTAAAAGATCAATAAAAAGAGATAAGAAAGAAAAGTAAATATTTCTATCTTTTCTTTACAGAATATCTTTCATGGATCAATGTCCCTGGACCAGCTGTACCTAGCACGACCTTTGCCCTTTCTCTCAGACTATCGTTCACCAATTAAAGGGCTATATCTGTGTGGCAGTGGCTGTCATCCAGGTTTGCTTTAAATGTTCAACCCTAAGATGAGCACCGACTGTTGTCAATTATGTGGTTGTAGTAAAGGTGCAATCATTACTGCTTTGTTGTCTTGTGTTAGAAGTCAATGAACCTTTGACCATTCTGATGAAATCTTATCCTCAGTGCTAATGATAAAGTAATGAAATAATTTGGTGATGTCAGGTGGTTGAGTTAGCTGCTTCTGATTTTTCTACACAGAGCGAGGTTGATTAATTCATATTTTTTATGTTTCATGCTCCTTTAGGTGGTGGCGTGATGGGCTCTCCCGGATGGAACGCAGCGCTCACTGTCATCGCTGACCTGAAACGTCACTGAAACACCTGACAGCATCAGTGGTCTATTCAACAACATTCAAAATCTTTTTATATCTGATTCATGTGAATTTGACTGATTCTGTGCCAGAAAAACACTCCAGCAACACTCCTGATATTAAACATTAGTGCAGTAATACTACACAATCTCCTGGTGTGATCCCATGTAACTGAGAAAGCAGAAAATCACCAAAGTGTATTTGACAATAGCTGATACTTGAAATCATTATAAAAATGATAACTGAGCTTTTATAACCTTTTTCAAATAAAATCTAATGATTGCAAGCAAATGGGTCGTTTTCCTTGAAAAATGTATTCACCCTAATGGGACTGATTAGTTATTTTATGTAATTAATGTAGAAAACTAAATAGGAAAAATAATAGGAACATAACGCTAAGCTGCTCAGTAATGGATGAGCATGTACTGTCCCTTTAAGACACAGCTCTGTGGAATTAATGGTATTAGATCAGTATTACTATTATTATTGTTATAAGGGTTAGAATTAACGAATTAACAAATAAAAGGTATTTGTATTTACACCTCATCTTTTGTTATCCACTATGATAAGTGCTGAGCCAATAATTAAAGAATGGGCATGTACTGTCCCTTGGATGCAGCTCTGTGGTATTAAATCCTCATTTTTATTATTAGTAACAGTAGTATTTTTATATTCCATTAACAGTAAGAGGTATTTGTATTTACACCTCATCTTTTGTTAGTGGAGCTCTGTGGCGTTGATATTGGCTTTCAATCCTCATTATTGTTATTATTATTATTGCTGCTGTTATAATGTTTAATTAGAGATTCAAGGTATTTGTATTAACATGTCATATGTTGTTAGATAAGGACCTGTCAGTAATGGATGGGGGTGTACTGCTCCTTTGAGAAGCAGCTCTGTAGTATTAATATTAGTTTTAAATCCTCATCATTATTATTTTTTATTATTATTAATCATAATCATAATGTCATGGTTGAGGGTGTACTGTCCCTTTAAGACGCAGCTCAGGGTAGACCAGGCGTTTGACGTTCCGGAAGTGGACTAAACCAAAGAGTACCGCAGATTCGATACCGATTGTCCCGATCGACACAAACGTGTCAAGATCGACTACAAAAACGAACATTTGCGTGAATATTTGTTTGCGTGACACTTAAGTCGATAATGCTGGATGGTTGCGCTCATGAAGTTCACCAGAGATATCTGCAGGCTCTTGGGACTCGGGAGCGGTAAGAAACGTCCCACTTCTCAAAACTTTTTCCGAAAGTCGCTCTCAAGTTTTAAAACGATCCTCGACAGTGATAATGAAACGCGAGTGACAATCGAAACCGTGGTTGATGCGCAACACTGCGTTTATATAATGGTTCGTCTGTGGCTGATTCGTCGCTCAGTTGAGTTCTTGGTAAAACAATGAAAGTTCCCCTCCTGCCAGTTACACCCTGGCTCCCAACACTTTCCAATTCTTGGGCAGTTGGGACCATTAAGTTGTTATAATGCCGCATAATCAACACATGAATACACGAAGCAAGTAATAACAAACTAATAAGTGTGATAATACATTGTGTTGGACGAGATGTGCGTAAAAAGGCCCAAACTAACAGAGTGTGTCTCAACCGCTACATGTTGGTATGACAACAATGCCTCAAATAGGTGGTAGGAGCCCTGGACATGCTACGTGGTGCATGGTCCAGAGATATATGATCGTCTAGATGTGTATGTTTACTGTTGTGTGGATGTGTTAAATGTTCACAATGTTCGCACACATTGTTCCTCTTCTTGGTTCTCCATGTGTGTTTAGTGTCCCAGTAACACAGGCAGCAGAACGGGCTGTAGTCTTCTGATTTATACACAGTTAAAAACCACATCAGAGGCAGCTGAGCATCACACAAACCGCCTCATATCTCATCGAATCTATGTATTTGAGAGTATGGCACAGTATTTGAGAGTATACACAGTAATGGGTCCAGACTAACTCACATCAGAGTGAAAACTGACTATTTTCCTCCTTTTTTGTTTCATTTTGTGACAAAGAGTTGTCATTTCACAAATTGTCCTGGCCCTTTACGCTCCACACAGACCCATTTGCTCTATGTTGTAGAAGCACATGGTTTACTCTGCTCATTACTGCTTTTAATGTTGTGCAAACACTTTGTCTTGAAAAGGTTGTTTTAAAAATCACACAAAACCCCTGACGCGAGGTTGTAGGGATTGCTTAAACGTTGACGTCATGTTCTCTCTCTCTCTGCACTACTCTGTAGAAGAAGTAAAAGACAAAATAGAAACCGTGAAGCTGATTTCCTGTTTTAAAGCTCCAGTCAGTGATGATGATGATGCACTGTTATTTTTGCATTCCTGTGGAAAGAGCTCACCTTTCAACCCAACAGTAATCTAGGCAGCCTCCTTGAAGAGGAGAAACAGAGACTCTATTGTTGGTTTTGTCAGTAGATCTTGGATCATTTATTTGTTGGAGAACATTCTGTTATAGTGAAAATTTTGACTAAAAGCTTGATTCAGCGAAAGGGATGGAGTGTGCTGTTGTTTTTTTTGACACAGACAGCTGAAACCTTTTATGTATATTTTGAGACACCAACTAATTTTCACTTACTTTGATGGATGTGAAAAACATGCACTAAAAGTACATATTTGATTTACTGACTGTCTATAATCATATTATTTATCTAATCTTATTTTATTACATTTAAGTACATTCGTTGGCACGGTACAAATGACCAGATCCTTGTATCCCAGAGAGATAATGAGGAGGGCCAGTGGTGGCCTGTGTGCATTTCCCTGCAAGAAATGTTGTGTATACAATGCACTGGGCTCGTACATCTAGAGGAAATCTGCATTGAGCAGGAGTAGAATCGCAAAAATTACAATCATTGACTCATGGTGAGTCACAGCATGAGTCACAGACCAGTTTTAAGTATGTCTCCATTGTCGAAATATTCATGGTCAAGTGATGTGTTTCCTTTTGTCTTGAAATTTCTTTGCTGCTATTCGGCCTGAAACAGCTACAGGGTTTGATCTGATCAAATCCCCCACCCAAACAAGCAAGCACACACACATGCACACGCTCACACGCTGACAATGTTATTTTTTGACCAGTTTCTAAGAAGAGATATGGTGTTCTCAAACAGCACTACCCGAGTCAGCTGTGTGTTGCACATTGGGCCTGTGGCAGTGGAAAAGTGAGATTAAACATCTCTCTCTCTCTCTCTCTCTCTCTCTCTCTCTCTCTCTCTCTCTCTCCCTCTCTCTCTCATGCCATTGGACAGTTTTCTGTTCTGTGTGCAGGTTTACATTGGACGCAAAGAGAAGTTTCATGAGATCAAATGCTTTCCATCTCATCTTCCACATGCATCAAGCGCTAGGTTGGAGAGTCATTTCCCTTCCAGGGGCAGGGTACTGACATTAGATTTGAGATGTGCTGGTCGAGCAGAAGAGCAAATGCCTGTTATACATTATAGTTTGAAGGAACAGAACCAGCATACTTACTGACTTGCTGGAGAGATTTTTCTTAAATGCCGTATCAATATAACACAGCTGGAGTCATATTAAGTCATATTGTTCATTAGAAAACACTCAACAGAAATAAAGTCTGCAGAAAACAGTGTATTAAGGCTCTGATGTGTTTATGTATTTCCAAACAGGCCCCCCTGTCCAGCAGGAGGAAGCACAGATGGACTGTGGTGACGCAATCCCTGACCCAAGTGATGATGCCACTTTGTCACAGGTGATCAAATAGTGTCAGAATGACAGGGCAATGTCAGGACTGCAATGGTGAAAGTACAACTTGCAAAGCTGAATTCTGTGTGTGTTTGTTTAGGATGCTTTAAATGGAGAGGAAGATTTGAGCGAGGAGGAGAAGGTCAGACGTAAGGCAGAGCGACGCAAAGCCAAGAGGAAGGTTGGAGAACGAATCCTTACAGCCTTTAAAGATACAAATTTGTCACCATAATCTAATGAAGTCTATTTTCTTTATATGATGGGTGATATGTGAAGTACTGCATCTTGTTTCAGCGCCGTCGAAAACGTAAGAAGCAGGAGCAGGTTAAGCAAAATGAGAATGCTGAGCAGGTAACGGTCATATTTTTTATCCTGGGAATACACTCAGCCTTTACTGTTATATACAATACATCTATACAATTAAATGCTCCGACACGTTAGGATGACGAAGATGAGGACGGAGGTGCAGAGTCTGAACTGGACGAGAGCGAGTCGGAGGCAGAGTTTGGGGCTGAGGAGGAGAAACAGAGAGAGCAAAAAGAGGAGAAAAAGGAGGCAAAGTCGTCTGCCTCGCTGAAAAGTAACACCGCTCCAGTCATCGCTCCGTCAGGAATCAAAACACATCAGAAGAGCCACGGCAGACCCGCTGAAGAGGTAGGGCCACTGTGCCAGAGTATAATGTGTGTATTACTCCTCTGTTATTAGCCATTGGTGCTCAACTCCAAAACGCCTGTATGCCAGTGGGCCTGGATGACAGATAACTGAACTCCAATGACTTTCTCCTTCTCTCCCACAGGAGCCTGAATGGGACGTGAGCAGTGCCTTCTTTGCAAACGCTGCTAGTCATATCAAACCCAAAGGATCAAGTCGCAAGTCCAAAGAAAATAAGGAGAACGAGGCCAGGAGAGAGGTGAATGAATGCAAAATGAGAAGGAATAGCTAGAGGTCCTGTCTTAACTTTCCATCTCCCAGTGACATGAGGGTTGTTTTAACAGCAGTTGTATAACAAGCAGGAATGAACTGAGAGACCTCTGATAATGGCCATCAATAATCATATTCATCCATTGCTGTTGAGCAGTCAGATAAACAAAGAGTTGTTACTAGAAAGCAGTCAGGATTTTTGTTAACGGTTGTTCAGATTGAGAGAACATAGAGAAATCACTCCACAAAACGACTGCCCTTCACTTTATGTTTTATAAAAGTACACAAATTATACAGTTACACCTTACATCGGGTTTCACTGACTAAAGAGTGCACATTTTGCCGCTACTTTCTCCTGTTATTACATGCAATAGATTCAATGGTCAAGAAATAATATTTGTAATTGATCATCATTTAAAAAAATGTTTAAATCTGTATAACTTTTTTCAAAAAACAACACAGTGGCCAAATGTAATTATCCTTGTACCCGTTATATCAACAAGTCCATTTAGATCGCAGAAATAATGGTGTGATGGTTTACATGAGGTTGGCCTCAAATTTCTGGCCTGGTTTTTTTCAGTCTGTCCCTGGTTGCATCATTGTTTTCCTCTGGCAACTCTAAAGTCTGATGTGTGGCTAAGTAGACTTTGGACCATGAAAGCACAAGACCTAATATGTCACAGCTGTAGCATGAAGTTTAGACCTTGGTCTTTGGTGTCTTGAATCAGGCTAATCCCAAAGGCAGCAACCTAATGGTCAGTATGGCATGTCATTCCCTGACTCCCTCATCTAATTTCTGGTCTCTCCTTCACCATCTCTGTCAAAAAGAGGCGAAAAAATAATACTTGAAATAGAATAAGGATGATCAATTGGTTTAAAATTAGTTTTAAAGTGACTGCTTACATTGGGATCTGTTGATAACAAAACAAAGCAGATGGATAAAACTATAACACTCAACCGTCCATATAAATTCTTTTGTCAGTAGGAAATGTATTTATATCGTTTCTGCATTTCAGTTGGAAAGGTAAACCATATCATTTTCAGAATCAAGCACATTTGCACAGCTGTGAACATGAACTGATGAAAATCACATTTTTCTTGCAGACAAATGGAACTGACACCACAACCAAGAAAAGCGCATCACTGACAGGTAAGACAAGTGTTTTTCTAAAATAAGCAGCATTGATAACAAGCCTTTTAAAAGCACTTGTGGTGGGGGAAATTCCTGATCAGACATATCTCTGTACAAGCCTGTCGGAGTTCAGCGTTGTGTTCAGTTAAGCCCTCAAGCTAGCCAGAGAATAATGCTGGCAAGAGAATAATGTTAAGGCATTTTTCTCTGTTTCTTGCAGAAAAAGGGATAAAGCTGGTGCAAGAGGGGCAGTATGCACAAGCAGTCATTATGTTTACAGATGCCATCAGATGTGATCCAAAAGATAACAGGTACATCATGAGTTGTTTGAAAGAATTTTAGCCATTATTTACATCATCAACATCATTTTGCATGTTTTAAATCATGTCCTGTAGGTTCTTTGGGAATCGCTCCTATTGTTACTACTGCTTGGAGCAGTACCCTCAAGCTCTGGCAGACGCCGAACGCTCCATTCAGTTGGCTCCAGACTGGCCCAAAGGACATTTCCGCAAGGGCAGTGCTCTCATGGGTATGAAGGTGTGTAAAGGCTACAGTGCTCATGTGATACAGCATGTAATTAAACAATATCTACTGAATAGCTTGATACTTAAGCCTTTGTGGTACGTTTGCTTGTACTAACTGGCTTTGTGGGTCTCTGTGTGTTTTGTAGCGGTACAGTGAGGCAGAGAAGGCTATGGAGCAGGTGCTAAAACTGGACAAAGACTGTGAGGAAGCTGCCAATGACCTCATTAACTGTAAAGTCCTGCAGTTGATGGTAAAAACACCCACAAACAAAATGCCAGAGGTGTTTCCTGTAGAAGATTATTAGCTGTGAATTTACTAAGATTATGTTGCTAAATTAGTCCTTCGGATTTAAAACTGGATTCCTGTGATTGTATTTTTATGATTTGTCATACATTTTTCTCTGTTCTTTCCTCAGGATCTTGGTTTTGAAGAAATGCAAAGTGTCCAACTGCTGGAGAAATTTTCCACCGTGCAGGCAGTTCAGGCCGCTTGTTTGGATGCAGCCAGGGGTAAGAACACACATATATATATATATATATACACAAATATGATTAAAAAGGAGGACTGAATTTTCTCTTTGTAACACTGCAGAGCAGTAATCGGCTTTGTGCCAGGATCATACAGTTTCTGTTTATATTCTGTTTATGAAACTCTTTTGTTTTCCAGCTGGGGGTCAGGATTCATCAGTTGTGCAACCTGGGTACGTAGGTGACTGTTTGTTTGCCCGATCTAAGCCCAGGGTCATACGGGTTTGAAGCCTCTCTTGTGGCTAAGATAAATTTAGTTCACCTTGGTTTAGGCATCTGTTCTTTTGAAGAAGTATCAACAATTGACGTATTTTGACTTTTTTAATGTATTTTGTATTGTTTTTAGTTACATTCTGTCTCTTTCTCCTTCCTTCAGAAGCCCTTGTCCATCTCTTTGGGTAGGAAATGTGACGACGGAGCTTACAGAAAAACATTTATGGGACCTTTTTAAAATGTACGACCCCAGAACATTTGATTCTACTGAGTTGAAATCAGATCAGTAATCAAATGACTTTCAGCAAACACTAGTGTTTTATGTCTTTGAACAGAAACACAGCCGGTTTAATATTTAACAAAAGTGGTTATCGACTTTTCTGTTAAGTTGTTTGCTTTACATTTCAGGTATGGTGAGATAGAGAGTATCCGTGTGCTACATGAGAGATTCTGTGCCTTCGTCAACTTCAAGAATGCAAACATGGCGTCTCGTGCAATGGAGAAATTAAATGTGAGCATTTACTGTATCTGGTCCTCCCCTCTCAATCTTGTGCCTTTTTTTAAAGAACATGGTAACAGCGTTAACATCTGTGTGTGTGCTCCCTATTACAGGGTTATTGTATTGAGAACACACGTTTAGTGGTGCGCTATCCTGACCGTCGCACTCAGAGGGTCCTCCCCATTCCACTTAAGACCTGTCTCCCTGCCACACAGCAGGCAGGAGCAGCTGCTGCTGGGTAAGAAAGACTTCATCCTCATTGTAGAAACTCTCATTCTAATTTCTTTTTGTACTTAATAAAGCTATTTCTGTGTTTTCCTCTCATCTCTGTGTTCGAACCTTCCTCTCTGCCCAGACCTCGACGACGTGGTCCAGTGAACGGAGATGAGTGTTACTTCTGGAGAACCACTGGCTGCCATTTTGGGGACAAATGCCGCTACAAACACATTCCTGATCAGAAAAGCAAGGACAGGAAGCCCTGGCAGCCTTGAGCTCTGTTTACTCTCCGCCTCAGTTATGTGCAGGAAACTGGGATAACACAGACTGAGCTACAGGAGCTGGTACTTACTGGATCCGGTTTTCTGGGCTAAGAATTTTAACTGTGGCAGAACGGACCAGAACAGTCAGATGGATGAGAGTCAGCACTTGGGCTGTAGGGCTGGGATAGTCCCACATGTGCCTCAAAGAACTAGGAGTATGAAGGTTTTTTATTTCAACCGAAGACTATACCGTAGCAACAAAATCCCCTGATGAAGTCTTTGTTTCAGAGGAAAACCCTCATAATTGTAGTTCCTCATGGGGCACGGTGACCTATTCCTGCTCTAAGATATACAGCCGCAGCCCACAGGCCTACGAAACAAGGAGGAAGTGAAACTGCCTGGTTTCGTTGTAGGAGAAAAGTAAAGACACTGTCATGTGACGAAGCAATAAAAGCAGTGTGCATGGATTTTTTAGGCCAAGGCTCTTCAGTGATGATGATGGTGACCTCTCTTCTTTTACAGGTCATGAAGCAGTGTTCCTCCCCCATTTTTAATGTACAGTAACTTCATGATTAATACTTTAAGTTTGTGAACCAGTTTTTAAAAAAAATTTTTTTTTTGCAGTTTAGGTTTATCAGAGGTTCACAACTGCTCACAGCAGTCTACAGTTCATACTTACATTTTATTTCTGTGCCAATGCTAGCTCATTGTCCCCCAGACCAAAGACTCTGATGAAACTGATGTACTTATGCGTTCAGCTCAATTCAGTTCCTCCCGTAGGCCGGTGAGGTTTTTCTTTTAGCCAGTAAGCATCAGAGATCCAGAGAGGTGCCTTCACTATGTGTTATGTAGCCTTTAGTTAAAATGATCACCAGTGGCCAATTGAACATTAAAACCCACAGACTGAACTTGAGGGATTGCAGGATTGTTTGTATTAATGCATGAGTTAAATGTAAATGTCACTTTATTTACTTCCTGGCTGCCCTATTGTTGAACAATTGAATACACACACTGCATGTCTGTTGCGTTGTCGTGACGAGTTGTGTAGGACCTATTGTACTTTGTAATTATACCTGTCGGGTTCAGAAGAAGAAATACAAACACTTGACAATGTCATGCGGTCCAGTGGAATACAAACCACCTTTATGAGGGCTGTAGTGTTCACCGTGTAGGTGGGACTCTGTCAGAGAGGTGGTGGTAATTCTGAGGCCATAGTTTTTGGTTTTGTTGTAAAAGATTGCATGAAATGTCAAGTGTTAAGTTCTTTACTTCTCCTAGACTCTTCAGAAATCAACAATGTGTTTACACATTGCAAAAAAACTTCACTCATTCATGTATCTCAGCATTAGTATAGGCAATATGCTTTCTTGGTATTTTGCATCGTAAACATCACAGTGCTTTGTTTCTATGCAAATGACAAGTGGCAGTTCCATTGTCATTTCTCTGTCACTCTCTTTGTCTCTTTCTCTCACTCACATACAGACACACACCTACAGAGCCTCCTGCATAAATAGCCTGGTTTTTCTTATGTTGTTAATGTCTATGACTGACATAAACTGCGTTTTCTTTGACAAACTAGTTTCCTGTAGGACAGTGCCTTACAAAAAACCCCACTCAGTCGTGTGCATGTGTCTTTAAGGGCCATGTGTTTTTACACGAACCATTAACAGAAGTTTTGAACCTTGAAAATCAGTATTTTTGACCTTATAGCCTCCATTTCAGTATTTCAGTGAACCAAAGAATGCCTCACCTGACAGCTCCGCACTGAAAACAGCTCAATTCTTTCACAAGTTTCAACACTAGACAGAACAATCGGCATGTGTCTGTATCGTCCACATTTACACACCTGGTTTTAATCCACACTACATTTGCCTGTAAACTATACACAGAATTGTGAGAGTATTTATTACTTTATTTATATCTGAGTTTTTCTTATCTTTTTTTTTTACAACATACCTTGGGAGCAAAGTTCAGCTTTTAAATCAGACATTTTTGTCGTTATTTTATGTCAACTGAAATAAAGGAAGCTCATCTGCTTAGTTCAGGCTGTAGAGTCCAGCGTCAAATACTGTCACATGCTTCCACTTCTGCTTTTCTCATTACTCTCTGTCTTGTGGTTAAAACTTGTGAAAAAGGAATTGGACAGCAAACTTTTAAACTACACTTGTTTATTTAGCTTGTTTCTGATTTGGTGCTGCACAGTGTATTTTAATTTTTCAGACTTGAAATGCATTGGAAATTACCATTGGTTATTGAATTTTGTCTTGAGAAAAAAAAGATGGGTTTACCATCAGGCTCTTTGTTATGTTTTTTTTTTAATTCTTTCTACCCATTTTCAAACTGTGTCAGGAAAATGCACAATTAATCAAAATGTACACACCACCAACATCAACCAGAGCACTGCAATTCTGTTAATCCCCCAAATATTTTGTATATCGCACTGCAAGGAAGAGTATTTTATATTTAATAAATGAACTACCTATACCACATATGTCTGAGTCTACACATGCATAATGGCAAAAATTGTGGATAAAATATCTGCAGTGATTCTGCAGGAGAATTTGTTTGCAGAGGTGCGTGGTTTTCCACAAGATGGCAGTATTGCACTTGAACGGTTTTCACTGAAATATGTCAGCAGTTTATGTGAGGAAAATATATTCATCTTTTTTAGATTTTCAGGAACAAAAACGTTACCCTAAATTATTCCTCATGCTCAAAACCACGAAGAAGTAAATCAAAGCAGGCCGGGTCGGTGTGGGGGGAATATGGTAACCCTGTCATCACCAGAAGAAGACACTTGTGTGGCCGGCATGAGAGAAAGATGAGGGATTCTGTAACCACGCAGACCAGTGAGAGATGGAGACATGACATTACTGAGGACGTGTGGGAAAAGCAACCATCGTGCCGCAGATGACACTGTGAATAGAGAGAAACTGGCCTGACGCCACCTGTAAATGTGTGAGAGAGCAAGATGCTGCTAAATTAAAGGGACGCTCTGCACATACAGTTTAGTTTACTGTTTAGAATGAGCAATTTACAGTGTGTGAAAGTAATTGTATAAAGTTTTCCAAGTTAACTATGATAATGTCATCAGGGTTGTCTCCGCTTCGGCTGAACACGTAAACATTTCAACAGAACGCCTACATTAACAGATAAGAGCTCTGGTAGAAGTGGGCATTCACAAAAGAGGCAGGGGTGGTTGAATTAAAGGAGCTTTTAAGATGCATCATGGGATATGTAGGATCCAGGGTTTTTTAAGCTTGAGCTGGATATCTTTGCCTCCACTGTGGAGACTGTGAAGATTTTTTGAAGAAGTTGATGAAGTACAATTTAAAACTGCAATAATATTAATTATACTTTATTCAAAGAGCACTTTTACAAAATCCAAGTGATTTACTGTGGCAGCAAAATGAAACAGACTAATTTATTCCATCAGCAAAATAAATCATCAGTTCTAAATGGAACAGGTAAAACATTGTGATGCCTAGTTACCATGAAGGTATGTGAAAACAGAAATGGAGAAATTAAAACTCAAATCAAATCAGTGAAGCCAGTGAAGTCTTATAATAATCAAAATACATCACTGACTCGGCTGAACCTTTTTTTCTTGAGAAAAAAAAGATGGGTTTACCATCAGGCTCTTTGTTATGTTTTTTTTAAATTCTTTCTACCCATTTTCAAACTGTGTCAGGAAAATGCACAATTAATCAAAATGTACACACCACCAACATCAACCAGAGCACTGCAATCCTGTTAATCCCCCAAATATTTTGTATTGTCGCACTGCAAGGAAGAGTATTTTATATTTAATAAATGAACTACTTATACCACATATGTCTGAGTCTACACATGCATAATGGCACAATTGCAGGCTGAAGGCAATTCCTTAAAAGTTTATGTTCAGTCATTGCATCAGATTCAAGTGGGTGTGTAGATATCCATGTTAAATACTTTAACCCCATTCATGTCATGTTTAGCTTATTGTCAAATTTTAGCCACCTTCAGGTTGAGGTGACCTTTGAATCTCAATCTAATGGGGTCAACCTGAGAGTTACACAGCACATCCTCTTTTCGGTGTGTGTGTGTGTGTGTGTGTGTGTCTACATGCTGCTATATCGCCTCTCTGAAAGTAAAAGCATTATGAAAGCCTGGAGAGACGGTGGTGGGGGTGAGCACGGGGAGGTGCTGTGTCGTTTGAAAAGGCACTTGTTTATTGTTGGAGAGCGTGTATTTATTTCATGCCTCCACAGATTGTGGGTTAAGGGCAGAGCCGGCTCGGTCGGCGTAATTAGAGAGGTGGAAAGAGAGAGAGAGAGAGAGAAAAAGAGAGAGCTCTGCCACAGAGAGCTGCCTCGCTCAGATACTCTCTCTCTCTCTCTCTCTGTCACACACACACACACACACACACACACACACACACACACACACACACNCACACACACACACACACACACACACACACTGAGCTGTTAAGTATTGGCACACAGGCAGGGACACCTGTCTAGTCTAGTTTAATTAGTCTGATATGCAACAGTGCATCACAAGGTATAATGGAGTCACACACAGCACATAGCAATGATATTTGTATTTTTAACCTAAGCAACCCCTTGTTTCTTCCTCTTGGCCTCTCTCTTTCCTCTCCCCGTCGGCCTTGGAGATCCCTCTGATTTGGACCTGCTAATAGGGGGTCTGCTCTTCCTGTTCGGGTTTACAATTCAGGGAGGGACCACCATCTCGCCACCCAGTTGCACCAATTACAGCTTCAAAAGCTTTTAACGGTTGTCCAAAAGTCTGAGACCACTTTCAAACTATGTAATTTTTTTCACTCTTTAGGAAATCAGAACACAAACTGTTTTTACGGTCTTGGTCAATGTTTCGGTTGCTACCTCCCCTGTCACGACTGTAATTCTTCATGCCTATGAATAACCCGTGTTGCCTTAAAAAGGGTACCCGCTGAGGTTTACTTAAACAACTGAAGTACAGTTTATCAACGCAACACGCAGAGGCCAAAAATTTCCATGTAGCTAAATTTGTCCTAAATCTTCCTGAAATGGCTCAGAACATAAATAAAAAAGTTTGGGACATGTAGAAAGGCCTTTGCAGGAACGTGAGCAGGATGAGGGTCGAGCACTGAAGTGACCTCAGCTGTGAACAGGACCTTTTCCCTCATTTTAAAAATCTGAATCTACACTGATGAGTTAAATCTATACCATAATGACACGTTAGACTGTAGTAACATAAACCTGGGCAGGGGTGGTAAAGGCATGTTCTCATAAGTCACGTTCACCATAGCTACGGTGAGGCTGGGCCTTTTTTAGAGTCAGTGGTTTGCGGCCATCTCAACAAGGAAATATCTACCCTGTGGTACAGGGAGCTTCTTTAAGACACTTGGAACTTGATGTTTGAAACTATTCTGGAAGCAGAGTCCTTCCTGTGGGTTACATTTACACACGTTTACCCCAAAGCTGCACGATTGTGTAAAGCCTTTTCAGCCTATCAGAGAAGAGCAGTGCGGAGAAGTCCAGAGTAAAACACAGGATTTGATTTTGATTAAATAAATATACAATACAAGATACAAGTGTGTTTGACGTCCTGGGATACTAAACATCTTGAAACATTCACTTATTTCATTTCAAGATGTCAGCCAACAAAAGCATTCATCCACAACTTAACAAAAAATATCAAAAGAAAGAAACAGAATGAGTCAAGTGTCCCATCGAGGGAGAGAACCTACGACTTTGATCATTTTAGATTTCACAGGACCATTGTTGGAGCATTATCTAATAAAACAGCTTTACATTGTAACGTGTGAATTAAGTCAAAACTCCTGTAAAAGCAAAAGAGTCCTTGAGTGAACGAGAGCACAAGAGAAGGGAGGGAGGGAGGCAGGGAGGGATATAGGGAGAAGGAGGGAGGAAGGGAGGATTGACTAAGGAGAGCATTTAGCAGGCACACTCCTTCACTCAGTCACTCTCCCCTAGGCAGTTACCTCGTCCACTGCAAACATCTGCTGCCAGCCAGGTGAGCTGACTTTCACTTTCACTTCTCCCAAAAGAATAACTAGAGTTTTATTTTTATCAGTTATTTGTATTTACTATGTTTATTTATTATTTAAAGACAAATGTATGTAACAGGTGTTTTAAGAGGTTTTTCGGCACATGTTGCTTTCCTCCTCTCCTCAAACTTGAATTCATTTTAAAAATCAGTTTGCTGTCAAACAAAGAATTCAAGCGTTTAGAAGAAATTTGAATTTAAAGTTTGTTTTTACACAGAATTAAGCAGTAAATAAAAAAAATAAAGTGCAAGGGTTTATGCAATAGAAGCTACTGTGATTTATTGACTTGCTGCAGCAGCCTTTTGTTTGTTTGTTCCTTTGTAATTTCATCCCCCACAGGGGAAAAATGAGATTTCTGTGTGTATATATATTTTGTGCTCACACTGAGTGTCGCCCTGCGGCCTGCAGTGTCATGGTGTATCAGCATCTGTCTCCACCGCTGCCCTCTAGTTTGGCTGCGACACTTGTTCGCCCCAACTTAAAACACTGCCTTCATGTTTCTGTCTGGTTAGTTTGCCTCGGGGGATGTTTATTCATGTGAATTGCATAACAAACTCGAGCGGTTGAAATTATATGCTGTGTCTCCAGTTGACATGAGAGATAAGTGGTTGATTTTAAGGGCTTCCAGTGCGTCATTGTGAAATTTATGTTGCACCAGTGACTGATACCAAAAGTGGGAATACAACACAAGTCAGCCATCCCTCTGCTTTTAATCTTTGTTTTCAGGACATTATTGATTTCTTGTGAACAGCACAGAGCACATCCGGATGTTTTCTGGTGCAGAGTAGACTACCTGAACTTTTTTGTCCAGAGGATGTCACCATTGTACCATGGCTGACTGTTGTGGACTCGCGTTAAAAGGAATTACTTTACTCTGGATGTTTAAAAAAATAATTACTTTCTCTTCAAGCATAATAGTTTTAGTCAAGGTTCACCTCCTAAATCTAGGCTGAAAACTAGGGGGGACCAAAAAATTAGGCTCTGGAATGAATTGCCAGAGGAAATAAGGCTGTAGTCTCAACTAAAAACATACTTTTTCAAAAGATATATTCCTGAATTTGCTTGGTTTATTTCTTTTATTATATATATTACCATTATTATTTATGTACCTCTTTCTGTGTTTAACCATTGGTTTTCTTGTGGGCAGCACTTTGTACTCTGTGTTGAAAAGTACTAAAGTATTTATTATTAATTCATGTGATGTATTTAAAATGGATGTTAGATGTTTATCATTACATTAATGTTGGCTTTAAATAGGCTGCTTGCTTGATTGGATAATTAATCAATTAATTGAGAAAACTGGTCACAAATAAATAATATAATTGTCTAATTAATAATTAATAGAATATACTAATAAACGTCTCTACCTGCAGGGCCCCTCCTCTCAGTCAGGATGGCCCACACCCTCTTCCTCAGCTTCTCCCTCCTCCTGCTCGCTCTGCTCTCCCTGTGCGGCCCTGCGCAAGCAGATCCTCGCCAGGCCACCTCGCCTCTGCGCAGGTCGCCACGTGCGCCTGCCGCCAAAGTGCGCCTGGCAGGCAACTTTGCTCGGGAGCCGCACGAGGGCCGCGTGGAAGTGCTGCACAACAACACGTGGGGCACCGTGTGTGACGACGAGGTGAACATCAAGCTGGCCAACGTGGTGTGCCAAGAACTGGGCTTCCAGAGCGGCATAACGTGGGCCCACAGCGCCAAGTACGGAGAAGGAGCAGGTGAGAGAGTACACTTCCTGTATCAAAATGACAAATAAACCAAATGTTACTAATGTAAGGTCAAAGGTCAATGTTAGATGTGACACATTTGTAATTAATGTACATTCTGGCTCACTAAATACCATACAGCCACCACAGAATCATAAAGAAATTAATATTCAAAATTTGATATGGGATTTTCCATCAGCTGTACTTCATTATCCTGCGACAATGATATAATTACAGAGGCCGAGAAAATGCACTGAGTAGCATCCGAAAGCCCATTAGCCAACTTCTTAATATATTGGAGCTAATGGGTTAGATAGTGGATATCCCGGCCAAGACTCCCTCCTTCTGTTGCTGTACACTGTTAACAGTCCAACTAGTTTCTTCACGTGAGTCGAATATTTCTCCTCACAAAAAGCAAACAGTGATACTATTTGTTTGCATTTTTGATCCCAAGGACATTTTGGCCAACTGTTATTGAAAACTATCTGCATGTAAAGATAAATTAAAAAGCTGATAGCCAATGGTTTTTTTGTCAATGTATTCGATTTACTCGTGGGCCACCAAAAGCTGCTCAACATGACTGGCCAAACTAGAAACTGAAACAAGAAGGCTTATAGCTCCTAAGTCTTGTCTATTCACATGCAGAATCTGTTTATAGCGCTACTTCTCAGACTCTGGCTCCAAATGACATCAAAAGAAAGATGGTGCCTGTTACCTTCATTTTTTCAATGTGAGGAAGTTGGAACCCGTCGTCCATTTTTATATACAGTCTATGATTGGAACACAGCCATCCTCATAGTATTCATTTCACCTGTGCTTTTCCTGCTATGACAAGTGAAAATGTCTGCTCTGGAGGAGGCCCATCAGATTAACATAGTCATTTAACAGATTTAAGGCTTAGACGCAGCGGTAGGCATCCACACAGGAACATTTAATCTCCTCCCAAACTTCCATGCTTCAGCGTACGTGTCCCACAACTCATTAAGTGCACGGCTTCATGAAAAGACCACCAATTAAGACATCCAAAATAACTAACATCATAAAGTGACAAAGATAACTTGTAGTGGGATTGGAGTCTACATCTTGTTAAGGTCGCCTCACAGGCTGGCAGAGCAAATATATGGGCCGAAAAAGGGCATTTGTTCTAGAATAATGACAGCATTCACTCTGCCAGAGTTGTGCAACACTAGCTGTGGTTTATGGACATTCTTTACTGCTGCTTTTAAATCCAAATTAAAGAGAAGGTTGAGTGGATTTAAAGAGTAGGATCTACAGCACCCTGCTTTGTAATATACTGTGTATCTACTGCTAAACACGCCGCAAAGGTGCAACCCTAAATCAGCGTGCCAGTAAAAGTCAAGTGTTAGGTGTTTAGGAACTGATTCCAGCCCTTGTGCAGATGCGCTGCCCTGAATGTCTGTTGGACAATCAATAAAAAATTACAATGAATTGTTTATTCTTTCACAAGGCCCAATATGGATGGATAATGTTCGCTGTGAAGGCTCGGAGAAGTCCCTAAAGGACTGCAAACACAACGGCTGGGGTGTGAACGACTGTAAACACTCTGAAGATTTAGGGGTAGTGTGCACCCCCGAGCGTAGGCTGAACCAGACGGCCAGTAGAGGCTACACTGCAGCCATCAGGCCCAACGGCAGCCCCGCTCCTCAGTGGCAGGGACAAGTGACCACCCGCAGGCATCCAGGATACGGCTACTATGGAAACGGACATCCATATGAGGTCCCACGGTTCCAAAGACACCACCAGCACCAGGTACACCAGTTTACTTTTGATCTATCTCTGTGTTTTTCCTACACAGAAATTTAACAGTGGATGTGATGCGTTTCTCCCTCAAGGGTAAGGTGCGGATTGAGGAGGTCCGTCTTCGTCCCATCCTCATGGCTACCAAGAGGAAGAACCTGATCGTTGAGGGTGTGGTGGAAGTGAGGCATGCTGGGAGATGGAGGCAGGTCTGTGACCAGGGTTGGAGTCTCAACAGCAGCCGGGTTGTGTGCGGGATGCTTGGCTTTCCAGAGGCTACGCAATACAATGTTAGAACATACAAGTGAGTGTGAATTTCTCCTGCTGTTGTTTTTATGAAGTGGAGGTATTGAATTACAAACCATTCGGCCCTTGACCGTATTTTCCGAATGAAAGCATGCTCTGCCATTCAACCCCTTGTTAAATGAATAACAGTGGCATCCTGTTAAGAGCCTGGTTGAATAAAGGCATTTTGTTTGCCTTATCTTCTTCGCCCAGCTACTTCTCCTCTGTGTCCCCCTTTACTCCCCCTCCCCTCCTCATCCTCAGGATGATGATAAAGGGATCCCTGTCCCCTCTCCGCTGCCCTTCCTCTCCTCCTCTCTCTAGGCAAATCAACTCTCCTCACCTCATTGCCTCTTTCTCACTCTCGTTCCCCGTGTCTCTTCGATGCTATCTTCAGGTTGCAGGTCTCAGACAAACAGCCCCACTTTCATTTTTTTTTTGTCCAATACCGAGGTGTAATATCAGCTGGTGATTGTACTTTAACTGTCCCATCAATACCATGTATGCGACAGTTAGCTATTGGAGAGTGGGATGAGGATCTGTGTGAAGCGACCGGTTTTGTTGGCCTGAGGCTTGAGCTCTGCATCTCTTCACATTTATTCTAAAAGCCTGTGGCATGCTGTGTCACATAATTACAAAACCTTTCTGAATAAAACATCCACACATTAGGAAATGTGATTAAAACCAGGGAATAATCTATGTAAGTGTCCATTAGCCCTAGTTTCTGTACTTGTGGCACATTCTTTGATACTCAGTGCTACAGACATATTTCAGTTCAGAATACATTTTGATAGTTTAAAAATTCTTTTGCTTCTTTTCCAAGAGTAAGATGAGAAGACACTACTCTGACGCCTGTATGGTAAATATGTAGTTGCATGGAACCAGTGGCAGTTTGCTTACTTTAGCATAAAGCCTGGAAATAAGCCTGATAGGTTGATATTGTCACCTTTGGATGTAGTCTAGTTTCTGGACTAAGCCAGCTGCTAGTTCCAGCTGCAGCACTGAGAAATATGGGGGTCACTCTTTTCATCTAACTCTTGACAGGAAACCAAATAAAAATATTTTTCACAATGTGAAACCTTTACCTTTTTAAAGGTGTTGAGGTTCGATATGTCCAGCACGTACACTTGGCCTCCACATACAAACAGTGACACATAATACATTGTACTTAGGTGTCTTCTTTTACCGCTCTGACACAAACCTACATTTCCTCTCCTTTTTACTGCAAAAGAAAAAAGAAAGAAAAACATTGACAGTGGTTTTGGGAAGGCTCTGCTCATACACCACAGGAAGGACCACACATTAGCAGAGAATTACTCCATTGCTATTATGAGAATGAATAGTGTCGGAACATTCGCTGTCCTCAGTGGAAGGGGAACCCAGTTGGATGTTGTTCCTCCATGAGCACCGCCGGCCATAGGTGATTCACAGTTCAGCTATTCCTTCCCTCTCTTGGCCTGAGTTCCTCTGACTCAACTGAGGACAGACCGCAACATCTGCTCTGTACTCTAGGTGCTAGAATCCTTGTGCTACTGAAGCGCTGTAACCGCTGAGGGGGTAAATTATTTGTTTTATAGACTTTTCTAACTTTTTAATGACTTTACAAACTGCCCCCGTCAGAGCACACACACTCACTTAAAGTATTTCTGCATTGCCCTTGAGTTAAGCTATCTCCATTGAACTGGATGTTATTGGGAACATGGTGAAGCTATAACTGGATTCTATTGTTGGAGGAGGACATCATCGGGCATCATATCTTCAGCAATAAACGGTCCTCAGAGTGAGCTGTTGTTGAACAGCCTGGCCCGACTCTACACAGACTGCACTGGATCATTTATTAGAACAAGGTTTCCCGCATTGCAGGGGTGTGACCCTTCTTATGCCTCGCTTTGATTTTCAATAACAGTGCAGGAGCAGGAGAAACAGTTAAGTGACAAGTTGGATGGGTAGATTTGGAATACTACAACACAGACTGTATATAAAGATGGACGACACATCTCCATCATGTACATTCGGTGCCAGAGTCTGTGCAGTAGCTATCGGGGGATGGAGCCACGGTAGCAAAGTCCCACTGATACACTACACCAATCGCAAGTCAATCTTAGCCATCAATCATGACATCTTACCCCATTTTTATAGCATTGAATAACAAATTATAACCAAACTTACCAGAAAAATGAACAATTGAAAATACATCAGTAAGATAACATAAAACTAGAAGGACAATGAGTAGAGCGCATACTGCCACAAAGGTCCAACAGATTCAGTCAAGCTGCACCAAAGTTGACAAACTCATAAATATCAGTCCCCTAAATATTTTTTTTATCAGATCTGTGGATATTCCCTCTGAGATCTAATCACCAAAATCTAATGGATTCTACCCTGACCCATACTTTATCCTTCAACCAAGTTTCTTAGTAATACGTTCAGTTGTTAAGGTGTAATTTTGCTCACAAACAAACATACAAACCAATCAAACCAACAGACAGGGTGAAAACATAATATCTTTGGTGGAGAAAATGACAGAAATTATCTTAGAGACATTTTTTTTTTTTTTATGTGTACCTTGACTTTTTAGTTTTGTCCATGCCTCATCTATTAACACGGAGGAGGAAAGGTTTTTGAACTATACTGCAGTCAATCACCAGGTGGTGATCGAGACACTTTGGCTTCACTTCCTGGCAGCTGTCCTGTCGTCCATCTTTATACACAGTCTATGCTGCATCACAAGAGATTTGGCTGCTCACCATGAAGAGAGAGAGGGCTGCTGCAGCCCGAAGGCCTTGGCGTGACGCCTGCAGGGTTGTGACGGTTGTGATTTGATACTCTTGGTTTGACCGCCCCAAGAGTGACCTTTTGTTTTGCTGACGCCTAAACCACGATGATGTGTTTGTTTCCAAATCCGTACCTGTTTTTGTTCTCCACAGACGTAAATCAGTTCTCTCTCACTACATGTTTTGACCCCAGACTGGACAGACGGTGTACACATGCCACAATCCACTTCAGTTATTTTACAGCTTTTGGTTTGCAAAGTCAGGATAAAGTGGCATGTTTATTTAAACTGACATTAACAACCAGAGGAGAATTTGAAAAACAGCTCATTCTGAATCAGCTGTGGAATTATGGGTACTTGAAGGTTTAAAGGTGAACAAAAACATTGGGTGTGTCCGAAATCCCCCACTCACTCACTATTATCTACTTCATGATATAGTGAATTCGATCTAGAGAACTATATTGTGAGCTCATCACTTTCGCTACTCTGTGCATTTTCTCTGACGGTAATGACGTCATTGACACAGGATTACGACGTACAACTGTGGAAAATCCCCAAAAAAACATGAATGACCATCTTTAAATGTAGAAATAAACTTGTTTCCCTCAGTTTGTGCTGCGATGCGCCGTCGTATTTACATTTATAAGACAGGTCGGCTGTTTCTGTTGCCCTTGGTCCTCTCGTCTCTCCACCATGAGTGCAATGCATGTTGGTACATATTGCTCGGTTAGTGACCATCGGTTGTACACTATTTTTCATGATGCATTATGGAAAACTTCAGAAAAGATTCAGACACCACTACAAAATGACGAACTCACTAGGTAGTGATCAGTGAGTGCTTTCGGACACAGAAACAACATAATGTTCAGTTTTCATGTAACATCCTCCACTTTTGCCAAAACAGCTCAGGATTGTGTTGCACGGTTTCACCACATTTAGCCAGAGACACTCCCCCATGTTCCTCCACCTTGGTCCAAGTCTCTCAGTCCATTCTTAGAAATCCCAGATCATGCCATGTCTCTGGGCTCCCCATGTCTCTTGGATGAGACTCTGAAGATGCTGTAATAACAGGTTGGTCAGGACCAAGGCTCTCCAGGGTTTCTGCTGAGAGTGAAAAAACACCCCCAATTATAGCCGTGAGAGAGTATAAGACAGAGTTAGTGCACAGGGAGGAAGAGGATAAGAGGCGAAAGAGGCGATGGAGAGAGAGAGAGGGCGAGAACAGGAGCAGCAGTCAGACAAGCCCGATTTTTGCTTGCTCTGGTGAAATATGTCCAATTACAGCAGCAGTTTGCAGCGTGGCCCCGCTGTGTCAGCAGCTGTCTGTCTTCCTCTGTCACCGTAGTGATTTGGGGACTTAACCTGGCATTTTATGTTTAATTATGTTTCAGCTGAAATCTTCCTGTGATGAGGGTATCATTTCCAGGCTTTTGGGTGACACTTTGTGTGACCAAGTCTGGTTTTCCTGTCTGATGTCTGTGTGATCTTCCCCAGTGACCTTCTCTCTAATTTATTCCCAAATCTTGTAATTTCTATATGCATGCCAGTGGCCATTTTTGTGGTTTGGAACAGACTGTGGAAGCCAGCATTAAAACTGAGTTGAAGAGATTTTTATCAGTTCACTCGGGTCTTCTTATGAATATTTAGCAACTATTCAACAGATCCTTTTCATAGATACTCAAAGTAAAATAAAATGATTTCATATAAGCTTAAGTATGCTTTTAATGAGGAAATAATCTATTATATGCACCTTTAATTTAATGAAAAATATAATTTCAAATATAATCATTTGTTTAGGACCCTTAGTAAAGAATATACAAGGATTATACTAATTTTTATTGCAACAAATACCAATGTTTTTGAAAGGACCAGTTTATAATACAAGATTATATTAAAATAATTGTTTGAAAAAAAATAATGATGTTATACTGATAAGATTCTGATAGCATCCAAAAAATGTTTTCTGCTGCAGGAAGCTATTGTTCATCACAGTTTACAGTAAACAAGCTCTCCTTGTGGCAAAAATACCTCAAAGTACAGCTCTGTTTGTGCAAATGGGAAGAATTGCTGATATATACATACAACAGATCATAATTTCCATCAATTATAAAATCTTGAGAGTTTATGTCTGCAATGGTAATTATATTTAATATCTGCACCCTGATTTTTAGAGAATTATTCAAGCATTTAAAACATGACTTTTTTTTTTAACATTAAAAGAAGAAGAACTAGAAGTACCACCAGTTAACAGAGAGAGTGCGATGAAACACAAACAGTGGTGTGATGCTTGTCTCCTAACAGCGGCTGGGACTCCCTGACTCAAGCCTCTGTTCTCTTGGCTCCACAACAAGTGCAGGATTCAGTGTTTGGCTAAGCAGGGCTGATGAATGCTACGCAGCAGCAAAACAAATTCTGAGGCTGACTATTCACTGCATCAGCATGAATCCTCTCATACTGTTCACACCACAGTTACTACCTCTGGTATGGTAATAGTCATGTAGACTTTGTAACTTAGAGAAGGATCTATGTATACATGAAGGGATTTTATATGTTACTGAGGCGAGATTTATGCATTTTATTGTTATTTAATAAAGTTCAACGGTAAGATGCAGCTCTGTGATTGAGTCAAATGAAATAGCTGAAGGTATCATTTATAAATTTACTGGTTGGTCTGAGGTGAGGTCACAAACAAGTGTGTGTGTTTGTGTGTGTGTTTGTTTGTCTATCCCACTGACATGCCCCTCCAGAACCACATGGTAGACACATTTAAGAAATTTTACAAGACACTGTAAAAATAGCATTAAATTCTATACAATGTGTCAGAGGCAGTTTACTTTTCTCTGCCTCATCTTGTCAAACGTTTGATATAACTTTAAAGACTAGCAGGCAATAAGGCTGTTTGAGCTACTGAGATTTCATTCACACATGTTCCTAATTTAAACACTCAGTGTATTTGTTTTGCAAATGGGCCTAAGAAATGACCTTAAAGTCTATTTGAAAATAGCATCTGCAGTTTGTACAAAGATTGCTGGAATGAAAGTGTACTCCTTTTCTAAAACTCAGTCACATAAAGTTTTTTTTCATGCCAAATACTAATATTTTGAGGAGAGGTCTCTTCTGGTCCACTGACTGCTCGCAGCATCAGCAAACAAGTCATTACCTGATGTTGGAAAGTGTACACTCAGCAGCCCGTGACTTCACACAACCGTCCACATCACATCACCTCAATAACAATGCTGCTCTTGATTCCAACACTGAGGACCAGTTTGTTTTTAATGTTCCCTGCTTTAACGTAATGGGAACGTGGAGAGCTCGTGTCAGAAATACAAATATTGACCTGTCTCTGCTTTCATACATGGAGCATGTTTTAATGATTATTTCTTCACTGTAGCCAAAAAATGCAGAAAACCATTAGAGCATTTCTCACCTATGAAGTACAAATACTCAGTAATTATTTGATTTAAGAATTCTTCGTTCAATACATTATTCACATTTCGTCTAAGATGCTCACAAATCTTTTCTTGCTTTAACTCGTGTTTAGTCTATTGTTTTAATATCTTATTAATATGATAGAGGTTTAAGTAACAAAATGGCCTTCAGAGGGGAACTTATTACTTTTATACTTTTTTGAGTATGTTTCAGAGCCTGTACTTTTCTACTTTTACTTGAGTGAAGAGGTTGAATCAGTACTTATACATTTACTCATTTCTAACACTAGTATCAGTACTTCTACTTGAGCAAGGAATGTGTGTACTTTTGCCACCACAGCCTGTGATACCACCGCTCCACACAGAGATGTGTGTGTGTGTGTGTGTGTGTGTGTGTGTGTGTGTAGGAATAAATGTGAATGTTAGTGCATGCTCTTTGCAGTGGATGTCCTGGCACGATCTGATACATCTGCTCTGCGTGTCTGCCAAGAGAACAGAAGGCTTTCCTCTCCGTCGCTCTCTCGAGTCAGCCAGACGACTCTGTGCATGAACGTCTATTTTGTTCTGGCATTTTCTCTCAGACGCACCGCGCAGCGGCTTGCCAGAGTTTTTGTTTGTACACTGTGCTTGGTCAAACCCTGTTTTCCCAGAAATGTTGTACATCACTGATGTTGAATGTTGTGATTTTTTTGGGACTATTCGTGTCTTTGAAGGTTAACAACATAGTTCAAAAAATATCTTGTGGTTTTTTATTTTTAAATCCTTTTATAGTACTTACATCCTGTCGTTATGTAGAAATATCTTTTATATTGCAACAAGCAATGAAAACTATTATTTACAAAGGCTCTTTGTTACTTTATTTAATATAAAGGTGGCCAATGTGGTAAAAGTTGCTCAGCACATTCCTGTTTGAACACTTATCCTTATGTTGGTGGTTACAGGAAGTGCTGTTGCCCTATGGCTCAGGAACATATGATACACTGTCCATTTACCCTAAACATAAACACAGTAAATAGCAAGCAGCCCACATTCCAGATGGAAATATATGCTGCTGAAGCTGTAAAGAAAGAAAGACAGACAGAAAACTACCAGAAGGAAACAAGAGCAGTGCATTCTTCCTACAGCTATACCAATTCATTCTGGTTTATATAAAGAAGTTATGTTTGGAGCGGCATGATTCATTTTTTTAGATAAACAACGTCTGAGCTGTATTTTAAGCCAGTAAGTGTGTTTGTGCTACTACTCACTGGGGCAGGTTCCATATAAAAAAGCAGATGTGACAGTATATTTTACAGTCTCTACCTTTTTCTATAGAAATCATTCTCCCAGCTCACCTCACAGTGATTTGCGTGTGTCTCGGTATCTTTGCAAATACACAGACTCGATAAAACTAACATCTATCTCTGTTCTTTAATTCTCTTACAGGAAAATATGGGATACCAAGGTGGCAGATCCTTCAACGAGGTAATAAAATGTTTTGCGGCCTCATTTGACCGTTTTATAACTGTGAGATACTGGCACACATGTATAGTTAAACTTTATTCAAAAGCCTTAAAAATCTATTTTCTCATTCAGCTTCTTACTGAGAGTGATGAGATCCTACATGAGCAAAAACAATCAGAGTTTAGCAAAATTAGAATCGAACTGTGATGAAGGTTTTGAGGTATTTTCTTTGTGTTACCAGCAAAGATCTAATCAACCCAAACCCACTCAGTCCTGATGAGGTAGATTAGCTGAGTTATGAGTGTTAGATTTTACCGAACACCAAGCAATGATGTGTTTTTACTCACAATTTGATTGTTGCTAATTAAAGTTAAGGACGGTAATATTTCTGGCATTATTGAGCAATAGTTCTATAATTCAGCATGATGATAAATCAAGTGATCGGAGGGAAAACTAGACCTCTGCACTTCCTCTAGACTCTGTCTCCAGCCATTGGAAAATCCTACAGGAACGGTCACTGTTCCAGCATCGGTAACAACTGCCAAACCAAACAAAAAAAAACAGAGACAAAAAGTCTAAAAGGGAGACAGACATTTAACGCGATAAAACACACGTGGGTCATCTGTAGCCTGCGTGTATGAAGTGCATGTATCTGCCCGTGCTCGTCTGGTGGGAGGGGCTCAGGACAGAGAGACTCCATTAAAAAACATTAGTCGTAGCAAGTCGTAGCATTAGCAAAGCATAGCAATAGTATTCATTTATGCTATTTAAAAATACTTAAACAAGGGGACCTTAAGTATATATATCCAAGACCTACTTTCTCTTTTTTCCAGATTGAGCGTCATGGCAAAGAAGAAGGGATTCTGGGTAGAAAAGGTTCACTGTCTTGGTACCGAGAACACCTTATCTGAGTGTCATGCTCAGCTGTCAATCCCCCGTAGTCCCAGTCCTTGTAAGAACGGCAGACATGCAGTCGTCAAGTGTGTCCCTGGACCCCAGTTTGCTCGCATCTCCTCAGGACGACCCCAGGCCCCTTATCCGGTTGTGGTAAGATTATCAAAGTTGGGCCTACACAAGCACAACACAGTACAGTGTGTTAAAAGTTAAAAGTACAGAGTTATTAACTGAGTTATTTTGCCTTTGCTGCCCTGCACAGCCGGTGCGTCTGAAGGCGGGCCCCAGGCTGGGCGAGGGTCGCGTGGAGGTACTCCGGGAGGGTAAATGGGGGACGATCGTGGACCATATGTGGGAGCGCACTGCAGCCAGTGTGGTGTGCAGAGAACTGGGCTTTGGTTCGGCCAAGGACGCCCTGCAAGGAGCTTTCATGGGCCAAGGTGAGAGACAGAGATGCAACTCAATCTGGAAATTCTGAAAAGCTCCACGTTTTATCTTGTTGTTTTGAGTCTGCGGTTTGGATGTTTGAATGTGTTTATCGTGCGTCTCAGTTTTCTAGAGGCAGGGAGACTTTCCCAGTCGTTTTCTTCTCTCAGACACCACACCTGTCTGCCCCGATCTGATATGGACTCGCGTGTAACTCTTTCGATGTGTGTCACCTTGTGAAGCTGCAAATGTGTTGATTCCAGTATCTCCCACTGTGATTAGTCCTGTGCCAGGACTACCAGCTGCACTAACACCACGCACATGTGCACACAAACACACTCACACACAAAGTGTAATACTATAAGCCGTGATGATTTATATGGTGGTTTGGTAACTTAAGCCACAGACATAATCTCACAAGCTTCAAGCGAGCTTTTCATTCACCCACTGAGTGCTGCGGTCTTTTTCTTTCAATTTCAAATTTCCAGCTTTTGGTGACGCACAGATTCAGTCTGTTTCCAGCTGCACCAGTAGCGTCCCCACCCTGTCGAGATGTGAGAACGGCTTCCCCATGCCTCCGGCCAGAGTGTAGTCTCTAATCGTGCTGATCGAGATGAAATGTGGGAGGACAGTCTGCTGATTTAGCTGCTCAGTCGATCATACATAGGATATTTTTGTGTGTATTGGATTAGCTTCTATTTCCTGTTATCCTCTCTACTTGTTTTTTTCTGCAGGTGATGTCAGTCATGCTACCTTTCTTTTTGATGAGTCCAACAGAATTAACATCTAGTTTAAGGACTTCACACCCATTCACGTCTGTTTTCAATCAGCTCCTTCAGTCGTTGGATCAGGGTTCAGGTTCATTGTGGATCCAACCGTCTGAGTCTGACGTGTATAATTGTCAGGAGAAGCCAAGAAGCTTTCAATTTTCTACCTAGAATAGTTTTTTTGCCGGATAGAACCACAAAGCAGCAGTTTCATGATTGTGTGTGTGTGTGTGTTTGTGTGTGTGTGTGTGTGTCTGAGTGGACTACATGTTTATAATAAAATCAGTCTCAGAATTATAACATTTAGATGTGGCTCTGTAGTTTTGGTTTGGTTTGACAAATGGCAGGTTTACCCTCCTCTTTTCCTGTCTCACCCCTGGAAATGCAGGTTTCCTATACCATGTGTCCTGACTGGGTGATTCACTCATACGCTCACTTGGGGCCCTGTCCTTGTTACTGTGCAGACAGTGCTCTGAACACTTGATATCCTCTTGCCCTTGAAACTTGGTGAATTTAAATGAAGTTGCACAGATGAAATATTTTTGTGAAAATTCTCCAACCAACAGATGCATTTGAATTTGCTTTAAAAAGTTGAATGTGGTTGCTATGGTTCTCATTGATCTCTTGCATATTTGCAAGAAAAAGTTTTGGGAAGATGATAGAAATGGAGTTATAGCTGGATAATATATACATTGTTGTGTCTGGTTGATCTGGTAACATTCTGTTCTGTAGCGCCAACTATAGGGGGATGACTTGGAACAGGTTGTGTCCATGTGGTGAGAGATCTGCAAGGGTTCTTCTCTGCCTGTTTCTTGACTTATGATGCAATATGTGAGGTGCAGTCATTGACGCAGAGGGAGAACTGAGCTCTCTTGACTGGTCAGGTTGTATTCTTGACATTTTTTACTGAGCAGTTACTGCTTCTATCACATATGAGAAATTATACAACTATTTACAAAGTGAAATACAGTAGAATTATGACTGAACTTATGTCAGATTGATGCAATCTTACTGCATCACAAAACTATTTTGTTTTATATTAATAATCACACCCACTGATCAATGTTCACCCTATCCAGGCCTGTTTGCACTTTACACTGATGCACATGCATGAACCAAAATAGCAGGTGCACTTAGAGATGTGCATGATTTTTGTATTTGCACGATTAAAATAGGGCCCTGACTAAACTTCACATACATGTAGATACAAACTCTTTTCTCTCATACACTCAGCCATCGCAGGATGAACAGACTTCAAAGTCATCTCACAGCTTCCTTTTCTATAACACGAGTCTGTTCGACATTTTACTGGGACATATAATTTTCCATGTGCTCTGAAGGCCACATAAACACAGGCTTATATGTCGCTGGAAACGGCCCAAATTAGACTCTTTGATGGTGCCAACCCTCACTGAGAAAGACGTTCTGAAAGAGGGGATTGTTTAAAGTGTTGATTTGTGCCAATGTGTAATTTGCGTGTTCATAGTTTATCGTTTAATTCTGTTTAAAATCATTGTTTGAATCACTATTTTTCTTTTTGGATTAGATTGTCACTCAGGTACATGCTTTCTGTTAGCATATAATGAAAAAACAGGATTTCTGTTTAATCTTTTAGGCAGCGGTCTCTCTAACAGCAGGACCTGACAGGAGAGAGTTGAATTATTTATGATTAGCGAATGTGATAAGGGTGGTAGACAGTCTGCCAGTCAGAGACTCTGACTTTGAATGTGGTCTCACTAATCAGATTTGTTGCACATATACACTTTCCTGTTTAAGCTTGTAACTACTTAACCAGTTTTAAAAAGAAACATTATTTTGATGCTGGTTGGTTTCTGCCATTAAAATAAAAAACCCAGGGGCAGACGCCTCTATTTACAAACTCAACATGATTTAGTAATCTGCTGAGGAGGAGATCTAACTGATGACAGAACATTTTTGTAAGAGGCGTAGAAAGAGACGTTGCATGGAAAGAAAAACACGACACACACTATATTAATGTGCCTAAAAGAGAGTGTAATTTCAGAGAGGAAAAGAACAGGGTTTCCCTTGTAACCACTAACCAACTATTTGTGCTATTCTCAACAAGAATGTGACCGACTTTACTCTGTTTCCATCCCTGAAGAAGAATTTTGTAATCTGACAAAATGATCTGTGGCATCTGCCAATTCAAATTACATGTGGATCAAGCTCAACCTATTTCTTGTAAAGACTAAATTTAAGACGCTGCATTTACATCGCACATCGTTATTGCTCTCATAATTGTATTTGATGTCGCCCTTAGATTTTTTTTTTATGTTCAATCGTTTGGGAAATTGATGTTCAGGGAGAATCAAAGGGAAATATTCAAATCTTTGCTCAGACTCCATCTGCCAATGCTCCCATCATCACCATCAGTGTGTTAAATTACAGGGACAATGTTTTTATTTCCTTGCTTGACCCAAATTGTTATTTCATTGTGTAATTTTGTGTAAAGCACATAGAAATACAGTGCACTATACATACATTAGATACTGAAACACCCTGAATGTGTGTGTGTTTCAGTGCATGTAAAGTGTGTGTATTTTTGTGTGTGTGTGTGGCCATTTTTTCTTGGAATTTATTTCAGGCTTTTGTGGATTTCCCAAACGAAGGTTTAAATACAACGTGTCACCGTTCATTTTGAGCATCCCTCCACCGGGCCCCATGTTTGTCTGGATAACTTAAACAGTGGGAGTTTGGATCTAGGTTGCGGCCTCCGCCATGCAGATAGAGGCAGAAGCGGTTTAGATGTGTCATTTTCATATGTATGAACCCACACATGGTGACCAGCATGGGAGCAGGCCTTCAATCTACCAAAACCAACACAGAGACAGATTGGGTTAGGCTGCAGTTTGGTCTACACCATTTCAATCAACTTCCTCTTCACTCATCTTTGTTGGGTTTTCTCTCTGTCCCCCGGCCATTGTGGTTTTGGTTTTGTTTATTTCAATACTGCCAAATTTCTAGCTTTGCAGTTTGCGTCTTTTGTTTTAAGAAAACATTGCAGCCATAGTTTGTTCTGTGTTTTCTCACACCGCCATCATTATGGCTGCAGCTGTTTGCTGCTGTTTTTTCCCCACTCTAATCTTGTTCGTTGTTGTTCAGAAATTATCTGGTTGTAAACAACAAACCCAAACTAGTTAACGTCTCTTATTTTGTTGATGCAGATTTGGCCTTATTTGTTCACTCAGGCTGGTGGACTACACACAGTGTTGTCGCTGTTGTTGTTGTTGTGCCAAAAGCAACAGAATGGTGGTAATGAGGTGTGACAGATGCCCAGAGTAGATGCTGGTGCTGCTGTTTGGCTTGAAGGAGCATTTTGTCATGACAGATAGGAACTTTTCATTGTTGGATTGACGTGGAGTGGAGAAAGATCATTTGAGTGAAAGGAATACAAAGCCCTTACTTGTATGTGTGTGTGTGTTTCACTGTGTGATAAAGTCTACCAATGACATTATAGATACAGTGGGTGGCCTCCCATTCTTTCCCTGCATATTTTTGCCACCATTGTCTTGCAGTCTACCACATCCCCTCCTCCTCTTTCAGGTACCGGACCGATTCATATGAACAGTGTCCAGTGTATGGGCTCAGAACGCTCCATCCTAGACTGCTACTTCCAGGAAGTCCAGCCATGGACGTTCAAACATAGCCAGGATGCCTCAGTACGTTGCAACATCCCTAAGACTGGCATAGAGAACACGGTATGGACACTGCGTCATCACAAGTCATCCACATAAAATGTGTCAGAGATATTGCATCATCCATTTAATCCCTTTGATGTAATGGATTTCTAGGTGCGGCTTGCTGGTGGTAGACTCCCATCAGAGGGCCGTGTGGAGGTGTTGATGGAGGTTGGTGGACGCAAGCGCTGGGGCTCCGTTTGTAGTGAGAACTGGGGCATCAACGAGGCCATGGTGGTGTGCAGACAGCTCGGCCTGGGCTTTGCTGCCAGTGCTCATCAGGTAACAACCCCCCAAACAACAAAACATCTATAACCGACAGTGTGACAGCGGGCGCTCCCACCTCCAAACCAATTAGTGTAATTTTGAGAATGTCAAAATGATTTGTTCGGAGGCATCAATCCTCCAAGATTTGTCAAGATCCCATCAGCAGTGTCTGAGTTATTGATTCAAGAAAAAACAAACAGATGTTTAAACAAATCAACACGCAGAGACCAATCCATAGTCCCAGCCCCCATATGACAAAGAGCGACGGTACCACTCACTGATAGAAAACCAAACAAACTTTCTATTTCCTATTGCTTTGACAGGACACCTGGTACTGGACCGGTGACCCAAATGCAGCTGAGTTGATCCTCAGTGGAACTCACTGTGTGGGCACAGAACTTTCAATTCAGCATTGTCGTCGCAACAACCATGTCCACTGTCCCCGCGGAGGTGGTGCTAAGGCTGCCGGGGTCAGCTGTTCGGAAAGTAAGTCAAACATTTGTCTTTAAGCTTCCCAACTTCTCCACTGGTTCTGTTTTAATCCTAACATAACCTCTCACATCTGACCTGCTTCAGCGGCACCTGACCTTGTTCTGGATGCCCAGCTGGTCCAGGAGACAGCCTACTTGGAAGACAGACCTCTCCACCTGCTGACCTGTGCCAACGAGGAGAACTGTCTGTCCTCGTCTGCTGCCAGGATGAACTGGCCTTATGGACACCGACGCCTTCTACGCTTCTCTTCTCGCATTATGAACCTGGGTCGGTCTGATTTCCGACCCAAAGCTACAAGAGAGAGCTGGACATGGCACCAGTGTCACAGGTATACCATCACAGAAGAGTTTATAGAGGTTGCTGGTTGCTTGGTTTGGCCTCTGCGATGAAAACAGCCATTTAAATAATTGCTCTATGTGAGATGGTGCAGTTACCCGTGTGGTGTTTTTGATAGAGCTGTGGTTTAGAATGTCCTGGATACAGGTGAGCTGTGGTTTTTAGTCAAAAATATTCTGACAAACACCTGTTCTTGACATAGCCCCTTCCACTTTGGGTAATTTGAGTTATGTTTAATTTAATTGCATTCAATTGCTACCAGGAACGAAAACACGTTACAACTGTGCTCATGTTGATTTGACGAGGGGTTCTGCACCTAGCATGCAACATGGGCATTAAACATAAGGATCTTTGTCTGTCACGTGGCCACAGTAGCATTTTATCCATTCATTTTTAAAGGATGACATATTGTCCTCAAGTCTACTCCAAACACATTCCTCTCTGCTTCTCAGTTTATTCCACAGTTAGTTTGTTTCTTGTCAGATGACGACAGCACTTTCAGGCCTTTCGTCATGAGAGAAGAAGGAGTCATTTGAAGCCCCACAGTGTTGGCTGTGTGAGATGTGTCATCTCTCCAGATTCATTAGCCGCCCCGCAGCACGTGTCCATTGAAATGACGGTTGAGCCGATCCAGTCACCACAGGTTTGGGTGTGATACAAAGGACAGGGTGGCCCAAGCACAGTCAGGTCCGCCCCAGTTTGTTGTAACAACACATCAGAGCCATGCATGTGTGTTTCAAAGCCCTCCATTCACTCAGCATGAGTGCACTGCGCAAACCGAGCTGCCGCTAAAACAAGCCTCTGAGAGAGGTGTTGCGGTGACACCCACGCTCGCGTTCAAGCAGTGAGGTCATGAGGCTAAAAGCCATAGGGAGCCAGTGTTCAGTTAGTGTAAATGCACACACTCACAGACATACACACAAACACACACACACTGACTTTACCCTCTTTCGTCCCAGGCACTACCACAGCATCGAGGTGTTCACACATTATGACCTGCTGACTCTGAATGGCACGAGGGTTGCAGAGGGACACAAGGCCAGTTTCTGTCTGGAGGACACGTATTGCCCCGATGGTAACGTTAACCACTATTCATTAGTCCCAGTAAAGTACTCCTTCCTATTAGTGACAGGAAATTAACATCAGTATTCCAGCTCCAGCCATCTAGAGTTTTACTTTGTGGTTAATGTATTAGATCGCAGCTGTTGTTGTTTGTTCATTCTCCATTTACTTGTTATATTATGGATGAAATAGCTCATATGAAAAAGCAGCGCTCACGTGTCGTCTAGCATAATTCAGGAAGCTCTTAAAAATAACTGGGAAGTTAAATGAGCTCTGATGTTGTGATTGATAATGTTGCTGGTTTGTGTGTGTGTGTTAGGAATCCAGAAGCGGTTCTCTTGCTATAACATGGGTGACCAGGGCATTTCAGTGGGCTGCTGGGATACCTATCGCCACGACATCGACTGTCAGTGGATTGATGTGACGGATGTACGGCCTGGAGACTACATCTTTCAGGTCAGAAGTCATTTTATGTCACTTATTTCCCCTTTTATGTAGTTTGGATAAATCTTTCAATTAACAAATGTCATTAACTTTGTGTTTAAAGGAATAATTTGGCATTTTCTTTCTGTTGGGCCTCCCATGTCTGATCTGTGTCCTTCTGTTTTACATGCATGGCACCTCTTTTTTTCCTGAGTTATTTGTATTTTTCCATTATGTGAAATGTCATCAACATGCCCATTAGCTTTCTCACATTCAGACATTTTTTGAATAGTGCACTAGGGGGCTGAAAGGAAATGTTCCACAAAATGTCCAGACAGCAGCTGGTCTAAAAGTAGTCTAACACAACCTCTCGTAAAAACCATAATATGACATCTGAACATTTGTGTTTTTGTACAGGTTACAGCAAACAAGTTGTTGTATGCTCATTAATTAGCTTAAGAGGTGCTGTTTGGTATTCATACTGAGCTAAGCTAACTTCTTCTCTGTGTTTCCTGTATTTCTGCTAAGCTAACTGGCTTCTGGATAGTATTAAATTTAGCATACAGGTGTGAGAGGTATAAATCTTCTAATCTAACTCGCAAGAAACATATGTCCAAAAATGTTTAACGTGTTTCCTATGAGATTTTAGTTTGTGAGAAAGAAGTTCACTGGCTCTTAAGTTAAACCTCCTCACGGCCATTCGCCGCCTCAGTCATTCCTGGGGTGAATCAGTCGAGCCACTGCGGCTACTAGATTAAAACACATCAAGGACTCCGTCTCCCATAATGTATTTCCTGCTACATACCCACCATAGTATGCAGCAGTCCTCAGATGTTAGCATGCTGCCAATTATACCCGAGCTGTTTTAGAATTTCACTACCCAGTTTGTCTGAGAGATCACACTCAGTCTTAGTAATTACACTCCTCATACTCTTTATTGAAGATAGATTTATTTAATTTACTCATAATAGATGTGACACACACATATAAACACAAAGTGCAGCGTGGATGTATTTTAAGCTTGTCTAGCAGGGTGTAATTATAAAGTGGTACATTGCTACAGGACAATGTGGAGGCGGAAAAACGGGATGAATGATAGAGGAGGGCAGAAATGGTGTTTAGATAAACGAGAGGAAGAAATTGGACGAGGTGCTGGAGGTAAAAAGGTCAGGGTCATCTGAGGCAAGCAGGGAGTTCATGTGGGCTACAGCACTGGAAAAATACAAACAGCTTTTAGAGCAGCTCTCCTCCTCTCTGCTGTGTTATTTCATTTATCTAGTAAAGTGCAGATGATGCCTGACTTTTCTGATCCTGGGCTTTACGCATAGATTCTGCAGGCCTACCCTTGAACCACCCAGTGCTAATGAAACACACCAATTACCCAAATTAACTATTGCCTCCCTTTAGTCAAGCAGCACCAAGTCAACCCCCCCTTCCATTAGAAACGGCTAATTTGCCACTGAGGAATTCCTCCTGCCCTGTTTTTATTTTTATTGCCACTTTCTCACTGAGCGGCACATTCTGCCAGTGAACCAGCCCCCTGCAAAGGCCCCATACACTCGGCTTCCACACTGTAATTTACCCACAAAAATTAAAAGACAGTTTTGTGCATTCACTCACTTCTTTTCAAAATGTTTTCCTCTCTTTTTTTTAGTGGAGCTTGCGTTCCTTCTCCCTGTAGCTGTTTGTAACCTGTACTTAAAGAGGGTGTAGCAGTTTACAGAGCAGCTATTAGAGTAAATGACTTCTCAGTATTATGACCAGGCCAGATTAAGAGAACGGTTGTATCAGCAGTTATAGCGCTGCTCTTCAAATGACAGACTATTAGTACAGTGTATGGCTGCTCTGAAAATAAGACAGATTTCAGACATTAAAATGTATGCATGCATAACTAGTCTATTGCAGCAGACTTCAATTCAGTCCTTATTATTGGATACCTACGTTAGTGTGAGGAGCTGGGGGCCACATTGTGGTATAACCACAACCTTGTGTAACTTCTAACACTGCCAGTTATCATGTTTTATGTGGGATGAAGTATCTTTGTTACATGTTTATATATAAGTTATAAAATATTTAACAATGGCTTTTCCTTAAAGATCAACCAGTATGATTTGTGCTTTGCATAACACATGGTAAAGGTGTTTTACCACCATGTTATTCAGCCCATATGCTCAGCTACCAAGTGTGCATCCTTCCAGTGTTGAGTTCAGAGAGAAAGCACTATATTGAATATTTATCTTGAAAAATAGGAATACTGTATGGAAAACTCATCCAGCATTTTATAGATGAGAGAGGGTTCGACTATAAACACAATCCCAGCCATGAGCGCTGTTTAATAGTGGGCGCTCTCAACATTTTACATCCAACTGGTCTTTATATCAAACGGTTTTCTCAGCGTGTATAGAGGAGACCTATTCACAGTTTGCCTGTGAGCGGCTGAAGATACAGTATGTTAAACAACAGTAGATATTAAACAACAAAGTGATGCATTCTCCACGTTTCCTAATAAATTTGTCACATGAAATGCACAAGTGCAAGTAACAAGGTCTGAAACATCTTCCTGTAGTGATGAATCAGCCTCAGTATGATTGGACTGTTTTGCAGGTGGAAGTCAACCCTTCGATGGACATGGCTGAGTCTGACTTCATGAATAACGTCATGAGATGTCGGTGCAAATACGACGGCCACAGAGCTTACATGTATGGATGTCATGCAGGTGAGGACAGAAAACTGATTTCCTCCTTCTCACATATTAATATCTCCCCTCTTTTGTCACTGGCTATGTTTACATAGACAACAATATTCCAATATGAACCCCGGAATAAGCAATTATCAAATCAAAATGTGGAAGATTCCGACCTTGTCTCATCATGTAGACAAATACATCTACAGTATGTCCCTCTATTGAATCCTATTGGAGTTTTCACAGCATTTTGCAACATCAACATACAACAGTTGCCAACTCTCAATGACAGAAAGAAAAGGAATGAAAAATGATACATGTCATATTGGTGTCCATGTAAATGTGGTTACTGATATGTTTTTCCCCCCTCACAGGTGATGCATACAGTGCGGAGATTGAAGACCTGTTTGAGCACCAGAGGCAAATCACCAACAACTTTGTGTAGTCCATCCGCGGGGCTCAGTACAGAGGCCTTCCAGCGGGGCCTGGAGACTACTCAGGGTGGGCTGAGGTCAATGGGCCCTTGCCCTTGGGACCTTAGCACCCAAAGTAACAGAGAACACGCAAAAATGGTGCCTGTTCACCTCCTTGGCAGACGTGGATATAAACAAATATTCATAAGAGCATCATATCACAGCAGCTACCATCGCCGAGAATCAACTCAAACAGCCATTGACAAACAGAGTGGGACAGGAGCCGCATGGCTCCACGTGTTTTTTACTCTAGTTATGTAAGAAGCTATAGGATATTGTTTAAACTATACTGATTTTTGTGAAAGTGGACTACTAGTAACTTAAGTTAGTTATTCAAAAATTATACGCATGAAAGACCTTAATGTTGTTATAACTAATCTGTCACAAAGACAATGGATGACGTCATTACACAAAAGAAGAAAATCTGGCTTTTTTGTAATTTGTTTACCCAAATTCTTTACTTATTTGATCACTTGTAACTGCTCTTACATTATTTCAATGTTGAAAAATATTACTGTATGGTCCTATATAAACCTCACTACATTTCAGGTGAACAGTGTTGTACGATGCATTCTGGGTAGTTCTCTTTTACAGTAGGTATTTTATTTTTGCTTTGATTTGAACAAAATCATCGTTTTTGTAGAAGTGTAGTCACGCTTCTCATCTAGAGTAGATAAAGAGGTCAAAGGATTTTTATGGAACAAAGCACTTTATCTTTTAAACATCAGTATTCCAGTTTTGGCTCCACATTGTTTTCATTCGCTTCCAAATTAACTTTTTAAGGTGTTCATCAAAGAAAAATACTTTTTTGAAAAATAAGAAAGTAAAATATAAGGTCTGTGTTTTCATATTTCTCAAAGTTTTCATATTCAATGTACTATTTATGCTGTATCTTTATTTATTCATGGAGTTCACGCTCACACAGCATGCTCAGAAACGAGTTTGTTATTTTGCATTTTATTAACCATACTGGATATTTTTTTGTTTTTATTACATTATTAACCAGGGTAAAAAAAGTAATTTTAAACAGTAGCTCCAGGATATAGTATTGTTCCCATGATGCAGATGAGAATTTTCATCTAATTCTTATTTTAGTGATTAAAACAAATATAAGTGTGCAGATTTTTCGCTCGCAGAAGGGAGGGGAAACCTTGCTGACAAAACCACAGTATTGTGGTAGGCAGGCAGGCTGGGGTTTGAGAGCATATAAAAAGCCTTTTAATTACGTCTGTTTGGGTTAGACTTAAGGTTACGGTTAAGGTTAGGGCTATAGCATGTGTTTTATAAAGAAATACTATAGAATTGTTACATGTGGAATTGCATAAGGACAGAATATGGATTTCTATCTTAACTACTACAACTGATTTCAAGAGAGATTCTGAGAGATTTAGGCCATGATGGAAAGAAAGGATGAGAAAGTTAAGACAGAAAGAAAGACAAGGAGAAAGTTTGGAGAAAGACTTATGCAGACGCGCAGTTTTTTTTACAACCAGCGCTGCCTTTTTGTAGGCAGCCATATACGTCGACCACAAGCTGGCATTTTCAGCTCCCCAACGAGAACAACATGTTTGTGTGCGAGAAAAAATAAACTCCTCAGTTCACACTTCAACACAGTAAACAGTGGCGTTATTTTTTAACTAAAGCTCTGCTGGACTGTATCTCTCTACATTTTCTTTGCAGAATAAGTCAGGGTTTTTTTCACACCACACCAAACCATGATGCAAGTCCATTTTCTTGCGTTATGTTGTTTTACACCATTAATGTGTTTGATATGTTACACTTATTGTCTCAGTGGATAAACCTGATAAGACGATGTCCAGTCTCCAAGACGCTCATAAAGACTTGTGTCTACTTAATTAATTTCTTTAGCAGATTCTCTTCCTCCTCATTGGCTTTTATGATTTTGAGTTGTAGCTTTTTAAAAATGACAGTCAGCCCTGTTACTAAAGACTGTCGCTTCAAATGTCAGTAGATAGACCTGAAAGTCTGAAACAAGTGTTTGCTGATAAACCTTTTTGTGTTCGGTTCATGTTAAGATATTACCATGGTCTCTTCTGTGTGTTATTTAATGTTATGTGACCTTCCATAGCTTCAGTTGGTTCATACTCACCACTCACCAAACATCTCTCATTACTGTATTTTGTTCATTGTTTACCATGGCCAGTTACGCTTTTATCTTGTCTTAAAAACACTGAGAGTGTGTGCTAAACGTGGTGCTAATCAACAACTATATTCATAGAAAGCTGTGCTCTCAGGGACTTTGACCTCATCTAAAGAGTAAACATTATATTTCATGTGATGTGATTTTAGCTGTGATGCATGACAGCCAACGATCGGGGAGCCTTTTTTTTTTGTTCTCGTCAGCGGTTTTATCAAAAATAATCTGTGCCCATGTTTATTTTGTAGTTTAAAGAAAATTAAGGAATGACAGTGATAAGCTTTGTTAGGTGTTTCTATTGAGGAAAGGTCTGGATATTGAGGATACACACTGGCTGAGTCAGAAGCAAATTTCAGTTAAAGAACAGATTACAATGCATTCATTCATCATTACTGTGAATCAATAAAAGTTCATCACATACCAAGCTGTCGTCTGCTTCCTGCCTCCTTCTTGCTGTTAATTCATGATGCTGCAGAATATTTCTTGTTGGGAATTATATGTTTTTTTTAACTAAATCAAGAAGAGAGTGGATCCATCCATCCATTATCTGTGCAACTTATCCCTTGAGGGTTGCACAGGGAGCTAGAGCCAATCCCAGCTGACATTGGGTGAGAGATGGGGTAGACACGCTGGACAGGTCGCCAGCGTATCACAGGGCCAACATATACAAAGATAAATAATTATCCAATTAATCTAACCTTAATCAACATGTCTTTGGACTGTGGGAAAAAGCCGGAGAACCCAGAGAAAACCCAGACACGGGGAGAACGTATAACTCCACTCAGAACGGTCCCAGCCTGGAATTCGAACTGCGAACCCTCGTGCTGTGAGGCGACAGTGCTGATGTGATGATGTTTAATGTAATATTCTCCTACAACCTGCCCTGGTACGTGTGGATTATTATGTCGGAAGATCTGGCATGATTGAATTAGTGACTTAAGCAGCCTGACTTCTTGTTTTTTTTAGACACCAACAGACCAGAGGAATAAATCTATTTTACATGTTTCCAGTCAAAATGACCAGGCTGCCCCAAGATAACCATTTCAAGCTGTTAGATTTTCTGTGACTTAATCCTCTACAAACACTGCCTCTCATGGGAACTGAGAAACAAAAATACACACAAGTGTTCAGGCGCTAATGACTAAATTCGAGCATATCAAATGTGGTTGAATTGGGTGGAGTGATCAGCTGTCTGGAGAGGAAATTTACTCTTAAGAAGAATCTGATTTTGATCCCAGCTGACAAGTCCACCCAAAAAGAAAACAGCAGAGCTGTGAAGTGGTCACTGGCCAGGATGAAGCAGCTGCTGGGCAAACAGGAAAGCAGCTCTTGAAAGCAGAGCACCTGGGTTCACGCTGTGCTCTCACACACATTCAGCATCCTTTCATGCATTTCAGCGAAGCATGACTCTAACCACACATGCACATACTGTAAACAACCGTTGAGGCATTCACAGCTTATCTTGATTTATATTAGGGCCCAACGTCTAACGAAGTTAGAGATAAGTCCACTTCATTCCAGTTTCACTTGTTCTTTGAAAACTACCTTGAAATGACCTGAAATGATCTCATCACACTGGCAGACGCTAGGTCCTCGTATCTAAAACTCCCGATTCAAGGGAAAATGATTTCATGAGTCAGAACTTGATAACATCAAGGCTCATTCTTTTGCAGTGTGGACCTCCATCCAACGTGAAACCCAAGTAAACTGGATCAGTCTGTCATAATTAATCTGAGTATGAGTGAGAAAACAATTTAAGGGGCTAAAAAAGTAGAGGAATTATGAGCAAATCTTCATTCATTAACACAGGCAGAACGCACAGTCTTGTTTTTATCCACTTCCTGTTTGCAGCACGTGTTTTTATTCGTGAGGCCCCTGCGTTGCCACCCCACCCTGACCTGATGGGGACCACAGAAGGCTCCACAATGGAGACTGTGTGCACTCTCTGAATGACAGACCTGTCCATACAAGCTAAAAGGAACCCCCCTCACCACCATTACCACTACCATCACCAACGTGTCACACAACAACACAAACAACTCGACTGCATAACAGGTCTTTGGCTTCATCTCTTTTGGAAGCAGTGTTCCATGGTTTAAGAGGCAGATGGACTTGATAAGGGAATTCTTTATGATCGAACTTCAGATTACTGAGCAGGAATGTCTCTGCTGGTGGACACGTGGCTGCTTTGATAATAGGAAGTGTTGCTTTTCATCATGTCCCAGGTGATGAGCTGCTGCTGTATAATCCAAGAAGCTAATGACGAAGCTCATTAGTGTTTCCGTCCACTTATTACTGATATACCTGCCGTCACAATTTTGTATGGACACAGTATGTTTCCATGTGCTCATGGATCAAGTGCAGATCAGCTGACTTACAGGCCCCAAGTCATCACCAGGGATTGTTAACATTTACTGATAAGGAGATATTTTCCTGAATATGGGATTCATTTGCATAATTGTCCCATTATTTTGAAGGAAAAACAAATTATGAAACACATTCAATTTCTGTCGGGCCCATTAAGAGTGTTGATGAATAGGCGGTGAGATATGACGACTTACAGAAGCAAAACAAAGCCTGTTTCTTAGCCGATTGTAAAATCTACTTTTCTGTGTGCACAACTTGAACATTGCGCGTAGAGTGAATGGGACTTTACGTGTGCGTGCATGTGCCTGCGCACGTACATGGATGCCCCCCTCCCTCCCTCTCCACCCCCCTGTCCTCTCCACTCTGAGATTTACTGCAAAACAGCCCTGTGAGAGAGTACACATGCTCTGCCCAGTCTCTGTACTGCACCCTGACAATTACTGCTATATATACCACTCCAAATGAGAGCCATGAACCGGCGTGATTATAGGGTGGAGCAGAGGCAAAGAGGGAGAGGGGTGCAATGAAAAAGTGAGGCGAGTTGAGAGAGAGAAGGGGAGAGAGAGAGAGAGAATGTGTGTGAGAGGGAGAAAGTCTGCAAGGAGAAGAAGAACGACAGGCAAGAGAAGTCTGCTGTAAATCCTGTTGTTTCTAAAATCATAGTGTGCATGACAAGCTGCGTTTAGTCTGAATAGTTTTAGGAAGATGAGATTAAAAGGATGAGAAGCATGCAGGGAATTTTCTGCACTTCTTTGGTGTGGGAAGAGTCAAAATGATGACCTCTGTCTGCATCCTTCTCCTCAATGAATCACACAGCACAGAGATTTGAAAGACAGAACACTGAACATGGCCAAAAGAGGTACAATAACATTTGGTAAAGAAGTGCTGCCCTCTTCTGGAAGTCAGAGGGAGCAGATGAAGGGAATATGATTGTAACTTCCAACCAACTCATCCATTATCTGTACTGCTTATCTTAGGGTAGAAGGGGAGCTGGAGGCGATCCCAGCTGACATTGGGTGCCAAAATATAGAGACAAACAACCATTGACACCTATGGTCGATTTAGAGTTTCCAAATAACCTACCCTGCATGTCTTTGGACTGTGGGAGGAAGTCAGAGTACCTGGAGAACATCCATGCAGACACAGGAGAACATGCAAAATCCACCACGCCAAATGAAAAATGTATAAACAAACTGAGAACGATATAGATTCCTGGAAGCCTGACAAAAAAGGAACGATCTTTGACACAAGCATCCTGGTTCGTGCAGAAGCTTTCTCAGGCTATAAACAATCAGTCTCAACACTATTCTTCATCATTTATCTCTCACTTTCCCGGTGGCTGTCCAAACACTGAGCTTATCATTTCAGCTGAGTGACAGCCGGCGTGCTGTCAGTCACAGATCTGCCCTGACTGTGCACTCACCTCGGTGTCTGAGGCGTCTACAGAAAGATTGATCGCACAGGAACTGATGTCACAGCACAAATGCCCACGTATGATGCATTGAACCGCTGCGTATAATGAATGCAGGTTGTTGCAGAGCCCAGGCTCTGCTGATGAGCAATTTACCAAACAGATCAGTCCACCTTATGGGGTCATGAGACTGTGGGAAAAGAGGTGATCTGGGGAGTGTTGAGTAGAGAAATGGCTGCTCTTTTAATCCCCCCCTTCTTCCATGCGCGGGAACCATCCCTGTGGGGGGAAAAAGCGGCAGGATCACATTACCCATGGACCACTTTTTATACAAAAACGCACGCTCTGCCTCACTCCAGCGGCTCGCATAATTGGAACCATCTTGGCATGAAGATAGAGTCAAGGTGGCATATCAATGGGCGCGTACTCCAAGGGCATGCAGATAAGAAAAGGCTGCTTCTCTTAACAGGCCGTGTCCATGATTGGGTCACTGGCCCTCCCTAAAAAAAAGGCAGCAGGCCGGGTGTGGCGTCACATACAAATAGCTATAGTTGATCAACAGTGTGAAACCTTGTGGTACAATTCACTCCCAGTGGCGCTCATCCCGAACAACAACAAGAAACAGTTTTGTTACCAAGCCTTGTCTCATTATGTATGCATGCAAAGCAGCAGAAAATCCCTGCAGCTCAGGATAAAGGCAAAGTGATGAGATTTTTACAGTGGCTACATGTAATAAGACTAAAAATGCTCCTAGGATCAGTGAGATTGGCCTGTAACTTTATTGCTTCCTGTCATTGCGTTAGAACAAAAACAGCTCCACATATAAGTGTTTTTTTAATTACACTGCACCGTCACATCAAGTGCAGGATGGGTATGTTTTACCAGGATGGTTGAAATAACGTTTTTTTTAAAAAATCAATAATACAATTTTAAAGGGTACTCCAGTGATTAATAGTTGCATTCAGTTCAATTTATGGTTTCTCACTGGACAAGTTTTTTTTTTAAATGGTCAGAACCAGAGCAGTGGTGGCCAAGAGCTGTAACCCCTAGTGCAGATGATGTTCCCAAAACACTGGATCCTACACTTCCCATAAAGTCCCAACAAAACTGGTCTGCTAGTCTCTTTGCCGATTTCCCATCCTGCTACAGTATCCACTCTGCGCTGTGACTGTCCAGAAGGGGAAGAAGAGCTGGACTTCTCTGCCTCCGCACAAATAAAAGCGTGTGCCAAGCCGCATTAGCCCTGCATCCTTATCGCCTTCCTGACTTGAGACATTTTATGAGCGGGAGCTGTCACCCTCCTCACACTCCAACAACGAGAGAGAGGCATGCTTTATGCACTGCTGCATCACTGGCATCACTGTTTACTAGACACTGTTATCATTTAACTACATGTACACTATGAAAGGTCACATTTTGGACTTCAATTTATCACATCTCATTATATGATAGAGAGTATATATCACATATATAATATGTTCCTGACCTGGGAGCAGTTCAATCTAAGCTAAGTTGTAGTGGAGTGTGATGTAAACAGAGCTGTGTACACACCTAGTGGAGGCAGAGACCTGCTGTGGCCTCTGCTGCCGGACTCAACCAGCTCTCCAGACGCTCTTAAAGTTTCTGCCCACACAGACCCT